GACGGTGTTAGTAGGCAATAGGTCTAGCAATATGCGTGATTAAGTGCAGCCCCCTTCACAAGTGCCTATGCCTAAAAGAATAGAATACTGTAATATACTTGGCACTAGTGAAGATATAGCTAGCGTTGGGGACAAATCTCATCTTGGGGACAAATCTCAAAACCTTGGGGACAAATCTCAGCAGCCTACTGCGGTACATGGTACAAGTTTTATATGTGGAGACGCCAAAATGACGATCGGGCTCCTCTTCTTCGGATAATTCTATACCTAATTTATTACAGAGAAATCCAGGGATATTCTTTAACAATCACGACTCTAATTGGTGCAGATCGTACTCTTTATAGTATAGCTCTTAGTCTCGACCCTGGCCTGCATCGTCCCCTTGCTAGCGGCCCACATACAAAACTTGTGCCATGTACCACAGTAGAGTTAGGCTACAATTCTCTACTTCTAGTCTACGTTAGAGCAAAATGTTTAAACAGCGGTAGTCCATGCGACGGATAGAGGGCTTGATAGAAAATTCGTTCCGTGCTAAATATAACCAGAGTTTCCAAGACTGTTTAGTGATTATCAAGAACTGTCTAGACCTACTCGTATTGCCTAGGAGTAGTCTACGGTTGGAAACGGCACGGAGCTCACGATAAGTGTATGAATACCGATCCCGGTGGTGTAAGATACATCTCTTCTAGGAGATTAGTTAGATTCTACAATCTAATAATAACATTAAACTTTCCTGGATCTCATTGTGAGATACGGAAAGAACCGAAGTTGTGTTTTGCGTGTGCGGTCTTTGTAATCTTATTAGTCCATGTAGTCAAGGAAGGTTGATTACTTCAGAAGTATTAGCCTTGTACGGTAAGAAGATATCTCTGCCACGGTTCGGTAGGTGTTGTAGGATCGTATGATCCTTACTTACTAAAGAGCTAGGAGCGGCGCCGTTCTATGAAAGGGCCGAAAACTATTTAAAGCCCGTTTTGTACAATCACAAGGAAAGACCGAAGAGTTAGTGGGGCACCCGGTAGTATGTATATCTGCATCTTCTCACGGTAATTATTCTTTTTCACTAATATATGCTCGTAGAATTCAACTTACTTCAACAAAAAAAAGAAACGCATACATATACTTTCAAGATCAAATGCCTACCTACCTATCTAAGCTAATAGCTGTTCTTACTATGTAAGTTTTCTGCCTTAATTACATCCTAACCTTTTATACTTATACTCAAATAGTACGATATACATAACTCCAGCAATAGCGGTGAATTGCGGTTACTACTGTGGTGATCCTGATCACCCTGACGACTTCCATTCCGAGTTCACCGTTACTTGCTGCGGTGGAAAGAAAGCAAATCTCGCTAAAAGTGGTGAGGTAGGCAAATATTCCTAGTGTCATGTTTTTTTTGAAATAGAATCTTAAGAGGTTATATAGTGCAGTCTGCCACCAGGCGCTGCTCGTGATAGATTTGCGTCATGTTGCGAGGGATATAAAGCAGCTAAAAGGGAAATATGCTATGGGAAAACTCCAGAGGGTCCACATCAGTGTGGTAGAGATGAATTGTCAATAGAGTACCAATAGTTTTAGTTAGTGTATTTGAATTTTGGATCTACTGCAATAGCAGGAGTGCTTGTTGCTGCTTGATGTTTTGAGCGCGGTCGCGTAAGGTCGATAGGATGTTTCTGTCAAATGTTGCAATTCTGGAAGGACTTGTTTTTCCTTGTCTGCTGTGGATGTTATATTGTAATGCTGCCATTTGATCTCTTGGTAAGGTATTGTGGTTTCAGGTTATCTGAGTGTTGATTGATTTCTTTGCTGCAAGAGGCGGTTGAGATTGAAAAGATTGGTCTACACTGCATGCCATCTCAGAAGTGTAAGAGCCGTGTAGCGCGATATTTTATGTATTTTATTGTAATCTTTGTATATTTCGCAGTAGGCGATAGCTCTTGTTGGAGTATTTTGTGATACCCCGACAAATTTCTTATGTCCTGATCAAAACAACCTGGTATTCCGACGTTAGCACGCTGCCTATGCATAATAATTCAAGTTGAAAAAGGCGAATTCTAGGCGCTGCACAATTGGTGTGGAGTCGGATTTCAAGACGGGGTATGCAGTAGGCAGGCGCTTAGCGGCTCTTTCGCGGGTCTATTCCTCAGCCACTCAGCAGCATAAGCGCTCGGGACTTGTAATTGCCATACATACACAGGTATTTCCGGGAACGTTTCGATTGCTTTTCCATCCTATTTCCACAAATATATTGCGGCGTAACAACCAACACACCGCTTGCCCCACTAGTGCCTCGAAAACCCAACCCCATAATCGCTTGGAAAGCCCGAATCAGGCCCTTGAGCTGTAGCAACCGCGCCGCGATTTGGCGGCGGCCCAAAGAATATCACCTAATGCTCCATCGCCCCCAGCAATACTTGTCAAACTCCCCTTTCTTTTTACCGATTCAGAAACAACTCAACCTTCTCTATAACGCTACTGGCTCTATTCAACAAACATGAACAATCTGCCACAGGAACTTGTCGACGAGATATGCAGTTACATGCCCAGGGAGGACTTGAAGCATGTGCTCATGCTCAATCGCCAGTTTCGCTATGGTGCAGAGCGATGCTCTGGATTCTTTGACGAGTACACTATCAAGGAAGATATCTTCAAGCCAATGCTCCCACCTGTGTTGAAATCGCCAGACAGCGAAGAGTTACCGTGCCGTGAGAGCGCCGAGGAAATACGTGAGAAAGATGAACCCTTTACTCGCCAGGTTCAACACCTCTTCAACGTTCAACACCTCTCCGACACTCTTAGCCTGTTGGAGCAACAGGCTGGGGCCAGCAGTCAAAGATACATTCAGCTTAAGCCTGGCCATTTTATCGAATAGCCTCCGTCAGCTGCAAATACAAGCCATGATTGACGAGAGTTTGTTTTCTAAAGATGCCAGTACTGGAACTCGTTGGCCCAATATGGAGATTCTAGAGGTTATGTTTCACCCAGCACATTCGAATGGATCTTGGTATTTTCACGGCCCGCAGGGCGAAGGTCGCAATGTGATGGGTTTTAAAGTCACTGATGAACACTACCCGCCATACGAAAAGACCGAGCTGGACGAGGAGATGCAATATCTACATGATGAGAGGCCCAATGGAAACACGGATGACGGCAATTCTCAGTATCGCATCACACCAGATGAAAATCGGTTGCGTCCGCTTCTGAAAAGCTTCGCGGAGGCCGCTATCCATATACCATTTTTGAAGTCAGCATGCCTCTGATCACCCCTGAACTGGTCTAATGTTGAAGCTCCAGAAATTGATTTCGACAAATATACCAAGAAGGGACGTTGGTCATACGTGTGGGGTGTCTGTCACAATGCTCCCGAGGAAAATAATGAATCTAAATCATCGCGTAAATTGAATTGGGCTGTGGGGTCGTGGCATCCAGATACAGAGCTTCATGTTCTAATCCAAAGGATTGGGGATGGCAAATATGGACAAGATCTGGATGAAGAGTGGATTCTTGGTAAAGGTAGCGAAAACCCATTGATAGAGAGATATGCAAGTGATTGTTTCTTCTCGGATGAATTGCAGCGCATTACTTTTCCGTAATAATTCATTTAAAATGGTATCATGTAAAGCGAGGCTGCTACGCAAGAGTATAGGTGCTATCGTAAGCTCACTCCTTATAGAAGAAAATCCAACGACGTAGAATTATAAAGATATTGTAGCTGAGTTTAGTGTTGAATGAAGCATCAAACAACCTGCTGTAACTCTATGCACGTACTCTGCTTATCCACCTATATTACATAGGTAGCGTGTTGCCATCAACTTTGCAGCTTCCGCCGTTGTTGTTTTCGTCGCTATTACCACCAACACAATACGGTACTCCGTCTGACTTGCAAAGAGTGGCTGGGAAAGGCGAACATGGGACTATGTTCCAATTCTTGAAAAAGTTAGAATAGGTCCCTGTGCACGAACTTTTTCCTGCGTGGGTATCTTCTGCATAGCACTAGATGAACTGCATTAGAAAAAACGGCGAGATGAACAGAGTTTTTCTTACGCAATATACTCCAACACCTTTATCGCAGCCTTTGATTCGGGTGTTTGTGCAGCAAATTGCAGATGCCTGGCTGGAGAGAGCCAGCATTCCAACAATCGTACTTAGCTTCATCTTGGAAAAGATGAGTGACTAATAAGACAATGAAAAAAACACCTGGATTATAGATACGTTGAAATATTGTTGGAAGGATTTGATGATAGGCTCAGAGGGTTAATGTAGGCAGATCTATGTCTCCTTTTACGCATCGTGGGATTCTTTATCAAATGGACTTCTTATAGGCACTAACTAGCGTGTATACTAATTGCTTCTAGTTAGATGAGTAGGGGCCCTAGCGATAGGGCCACGCTAGATTGTCATGTCAATTGCTTAGGGGCGATGGAACTAGCGATACTAATAAGCGTGTTTAGTGCTGACGTATCTGATATATGTTACGGACGGACAAAGCTTTGCGAACAAATAATGATAACCAGAAAGAAACCCATGAATAATTATTAGCGGGAGGACAGCCGATACGAGCACACTGATAAGGCATCGGCATCTTTAGGCAGTGCAAACGGCGGTGGTTAAAGTCGTGCTGTAGCAGCGAGACCGAGCATTCCTCAGTAGGAAAAGAAGCTACAAGGGCTTAACTATAGGTTGGCAGCACCACAATACAACACAACAGGAAGCATGACTCAAGTGATATGATGAGTCATGTTCAGTAGTCTCTTTCACTGAACTGTGCAGCAATTGCGTCTGCGTCTTGAAAGGCCGGTGAGACAGCTAGCCAAAGCTTCTCATACAACCATGAATGATCTACCGCAGGAACTTGTTGATGGTATCTGCAGCTACCTACCGAGAGAGAACTTACAGAACGTGCTTATGCTTAGTCGTCAGTTCCAATACAGCGCAGAGAAATATTCGGGATTCTTCGAGAAATATACTCTCGACACAGACAACTCAGCAGAGTTCCATTCTCGCTTCTCGTCCTATCGTCTTGATGTACTTACAAGAAGCGATATTCCGACCGACTTTCCCACCAGATTCAGTGGCTCTTCCGTGTCCTCAGGTTTATCGAAGATCAGGCAGGCGAAACGGGCATCGTCGGCAGATATCGACTCTCGATATACAGCCCTATCAGAGGAATTGAATCACCGAATCGTCATTCTTGGCCATATTTTGTCAACCCTTGGCGTGTGCACCTCCTAGAAGTTGAGCTTCCCCTCATTACAGCTGTACAGTCTTTTGAAATCTGCAACAACTACAACAACAACAACATGAAAGCCCCTTTCTACTTCTACTTTGATGAACAAAGATTTGCTCCACATTAGTTCAAACTGGATTTAGGTGTTCTTATCGGTCTTGCGATACATTTCCCGAACCTCGAGTAGTTGGGTATCCGGAATGGAGGATTTGAGTGATGCGAGACACTATATGGTCATTTGAAAGATCCCATCAAGCATTTTGAGAACGACTGGGCAGGGCCCCGGCGTGATGCAAGAAACGATTTTGCAGCTGCTGTCTCGTCCCTCCATATCCAGCTTCCGAAGTTGTTGAGACGGGCTTGCTTAGACTTTATCAATCCTCTGGAACGTGCATTCATGAACATTGATCACAACATGGTATTTGCTGTCCACTCGATGAATACCAGGGCGCATCATTAAAAATGCAACTCTGGGAGACCAAAACAGCCTGGCCACCTCCAGTCTCCTCGCCAGGGGGGCAGACATTCTTGCATTGCTCTTTTATGGTGCCTCTCGAACCATCAGACGAATCGAAACAGGTCAGGTCGGCGTAATATTCCCGTAATTTGCGTGCGGCACTGGGATCTTTAATGGTCTCTTGTCCGAAAGGCTGTTGTACATCGTCAGGATTGGAGTTACAGCTTTGAGAAAAGCTATGTGTCGTTAATCTTGCCACAATAGCCAAATATGTATGAACAAAGAAAGAAATATACTGCATCTTGGAGAAAGGTTATGACAGTGCTTAAGAGGTAAATGTTTCTTGAAAGTTTTGGACTTTCTACTGAAATGTTTTTGAGTTCATACCTGTTCATGTATGGTTATGACTACACCTCTCTGCAGGTAACTCAGCCCCATCACAGGATCAGACGAACCACGCCGCGAAGGAGCCTTCCTTTGGATATCGCATTGGCAGCAGAAGATATCTCGGCGCTTCTAGGGCTCAAGTCACAGTCTTGTATTCCAGCATATTACTGTGCCACTTCCCAGCGTTGATACCCGATAGCTAGCACCAACATACGCTCCTCTTCACTCTCACCAAACTGCATTGGCTACTGAGAAAAGCAACTTAGTAACCACTTTCTCAACGCGAAGATAGAAATTCCAGACAGTAAAATAATATCATCGCAAGAGACACCTGAATGATGTCTACAAATCACATAGTTTAAATCGCGAGGCGCATTCAAGGTATCCACCCAACGGCGGTACAGGTCAGCCTGGCGATTATACGCGCTGCAAGTCAGCCTGGTGATTGTACGCGCTGCCAAGCTCATGCGTGTTCAATTCCAAGGAAGTCAATCCATAGACCTCAGATCATGAATGAGTTGATATTCCCCGAAACAATCGAGAGAGTGACCGTAAGCGCTTCATATGCAACATTGCGGTGATGTTGCACAGCAGATGTGGAAAATCAGTCGAGTAGCCCTCCCCACCCCCGTCCTCAAAAAACTCGCGCTTAATTCCTGAAGTCTAGGTCCTCAGTAGCTCAAATAGACCCCAGTGTCTCAGTAATTGTTTCTATTCCGATCATGTCAGGGTCGACAAGAGAGAAAACCACCCCTGGTGCTCGACACTGCCGGATTGCGGCACAAGGAAAACAACACATCGCCCCCGAGATATATTAAACTAAATTCGCAGCCAATAAATAATTGGGGCTAGTTTTGGCCTCGTTACAGGATGCCATTAAATTTTTTCGTTCATTGTATGTTTCCATAGCTATCTGCAGTGACATCCGCCTGCCACCCACCGACCAAATCCTTTTCCTCAACTACCCCTCTACAAGTGCTACAAACTATATGCGGTTAGCTATTATGACTACGTATACCTGTCTCTATTGTCCTTTTCTGCATAATAGCTTTGCAGCATGCGCAAAGAGGTGGTAGAGTAACTGGTTTTCCTCCAATTACTCATCATAGGGGCTTTGACAAGAATCATGAAAGTTTCTTGAGTAACTATTCGGGTAGATTCATTTTATACCATGTTGTGCCATAGACCAACAGTGCATGTTGTGTAGTCTACGTTCTGGTAATTGTAATATTACTACGATTAGGAGAACCACCGGCCCCGAGCCAAGCAGACCGCGTATATGCGCTTGCGCTAAACCGGATTGGGATGCACCTCCTCACCGAACCGTGGAACACAACAACAGCGACTGCAAACCAGCATAATGGTTTGCATTAGTCTTTGCTGGGGGAATGAATATGGAGAATAGACATCATGTGCACATTGCGTGCGGCAGGGAAAAAGATTCCAAGTGCAATGACCATGTATTGCCAGCGTCCGGTGCTGTGATTCGTCAGTCTCGCTTGCACCTCCTTGCCTCCCAAACCGCCCCCAGCGCAACCGCTTGAACACGCTCGACATCGCCGCTCACTGAAACCTTTTCCATCGCCAAACAGCACCCCAACACCGCTTTTCATCACTTCCGACGCGATAGATCGCATGCTGTGGGCCGTGCGACAATTTTGACACCGATATCCGCAATATTGCGACGCGTTGGTGGTTGCAACAGCTCTTGGGCGAGTGACTCACCTCTTTGCTGGTCCGCCCCGGGGCGCCAGGATTTGCATCGCACCCCATACGGAGCCCAACCCAACCACGCATCACGTGCATAGCGACAAACAACAATGACTGCTCGCGCAACAGGCCAGCGCTTTCGCCAGCGCAAGCTCTCTACAAAACAGAATCTGCCCGTTGTACGCGAAAACGAGGTTGAACAGCTTGCCGATGACGATGCCTCCCGCCACATTCCCAAGGTCGAGACGGGTGTTGAGAAGGGCGAGGAGATTGTAAGTTGCGCTAGGCCCCTTTGGGCACTGCCTGTCTATCAACGCTTCCCCAGTCTCAACCATGCACTATGCGTTGTTCGATTAAGATCTTGCATTGCTTACCTTTGTCGTCTTTTCAGTTCGAAAAGCTAACACGCAGCCTAGGAACACCACTTGCAGGCCGTCATTTCTGCCGCCCAGGCAGCAGCACAAGGCGCAGCTGGCGGGAAGATTGCTCAGCTCTACATCCCAACCCCAGATGCCGTCGCTAGTAATCTGCAGTATGAAGATCTGTATCCCAAGCGCTTCACGCAACCTGCCACTTACATCCGATTCTCATCTACTGTTGAGGATACGTCTGGCTGCCCATACTGCATGACCAGTGATGATGTCGCCTTTCTCAAGTCTTACAACCAGAAAAGGAGTAAGAACGACCAATGTTCAGAAGACGAGTTTGAAGAGATCATCTACTTTTTCGAGGAAACCACCTCGACGAAGCAGCCTTTTGCAGCTGTCGATAACCCACCTGTGCTTGCTTATGAAGAGCTCGAAGCCGAGTTTGATGAGACCATCAGTGAAAATGCACGCCGGTTTGCAAAGGATGTCTACGAGCACTGGAGGAATCAGCGGCTGCTTAGAGGCAACCGCCCGCTTATGCCGTCGTTGAAGTTCGAGACCAACCTCGAGACCGATGACGCTGATCCATACGTGTGTTTCCGACGTCGCGAAGTGCGACAGGTCCGCAAGACGCGCGGCCGTGATGCTCAAGTGACTGAGAAACTGAAGAAGCTCAGGAAGGAGTTAGAGGAGGCTCGCTTGTTGATGTCGCAAGTCAAACGACGAGAAGCGATGATCAGAGAGCAACTCGCCACTGACAAACTGATCTTTGAACAGCGCCACGCCGTCAAGGAACTCAAGCGCAGACTCAGCATCAAGGGTGATGACGATGACTTGCTCATCACACAGAAGGTACTTCGTCCAAGCCATTCCACAAATGCTTTGCACATGACTAATGCGTTACAGCCCGCCCCTAAGCCCAAGAGAACTGTTGATGTTGAGCGGCAACGCCAGACATTGCCAGGCATGAAGCCCCCGAACACACGTCCTGATGGGCGTCTTGTGGATGGCGACATTGTCTATCTCGAGGAGCAACAAGCCAAGCGCACTGAGGCAATTGACAGCTTCATCGAAGACAATCTGGTCAAGCACCAGAAATGGAACGTTGGTTGGGTCGATGCAACATGGCGTCCCATTACACCACCTTTGGAGCCGGCTGCTGCGAAGTCTGATTTCCGTACCGTCTTCACAGAAAGTCAGCTTCCCACGCCCCCTGCCTCTGTTTCTGATGGAGAGGGCGCTGATGCCACAGCAGTGGCGCCGCTAAGCAAGCAACCGGATCCGCAAAGAACCGCGCGAATACGCTTCGCCACGCCGCCAGAAGATGTACCGTTCCACGATCAGTCTCGCTTCCGTCGGCGGATCGGGCGAGGTGGGCGAATGATGATTGACCGGCGAGGCGTCAAGCGCCAGAAGACGGAGAAATATGATGACCGTCTTGCTGACCGATGGCGGTTCGCTGGTGATAGTAGTGAAGACGATGAAACATATCCCGTTGATTGGACGGATAACCTGCACATCAGATACCGTATCATGATTGAGCGGCAGGGTGAAAAGGCCGCTCAACAACCTCCACCAGGTCCAAGTCGTCGGCCAATTGAGAACCATAATCGTTCTGCGTCGGGACATCTTCTTCCTCCCACCCCTACCACTGCCCACCCTGCCAGTGCCGGCAACGCTGCCAATGCCGCAGCAGGGAGGTGATTTCTTCTCTCATCTTCTTCTCTTCTTCTTCCAGCGCTTTGACTCATGGGATGGATTCGGTGCAGGTTTGTCGACAAGTTATACCCTTTGTTTTTATTCGCAGGAGGATCCAAAGATCTACCAAGTTATGTACACTAGCTCCACAGGTGAGGGAGCAAGGTTGGTGGATGAGTTTGTAGGCGCCACGGGTGTAGGATATGCCTAGATCGGAAGACAAGTTAGCAGTGGGGTTTCTTGGATATGATATTCAGATGCTTCTGCAAGATGTCGCGAGAACACTGCACAACGGATGTTTCCAGAAGGAAAAGAAAAGAAACCTTACCAAAGCATGTTGCTAGCTCGAACTCATAATCTTTTGCATGGTGTTCTCGTGGTGCCCCTCATCGACCTTCACACCCATGTCTTTAGTCTTGACACCCAAAACTGTGCATCTTGTGAGGTGATGCTCAAGCTTAATGCTCAAGCTCTATGCTTCTTCCCTGTTCCTCCCATTTCTACATCACCCTCTTCATCCACATCTCTTGCCCTCTTAGCCATTGCGCCATTGTCTCTTGCTACCTTTTCTGCTAATCTTTCTTCAGTCTGTACTAACAGTGTCTTTTCGCCAATGCGCACAGTCCTGGCCATAGCAACCCGGCGCTCTTTACGCGACATGGTCTGAGCGGGCTGCGTTTGCGAAGAAATCTGCAAATCCTGCTCCAGCGTCGTTGGGTACTGCGCGATGCGAGCTTGCACGATTTTGTAAAGAATTTCTGCTGCTTTGCCGGTCATTTTCTCGGCTTTGGGCAGTCTGCTCTTGCTCTGTAGGCGCTCAAACTCTTCCTGTGGTAGCAGCATGGTCTCAACCAATATGATGAGCTCGGGTGATAGACTTTCTTCGAGTGAAAAAGGAACGCTGGCAGCAATGTCATACCCTGTGTCGACTATTTCCTGTTCATCCAGATACTCGATCCTTTCCTCATGCCAAACCCCGTCATGAGCAAGCGTCTGTGAGACCAGATATGTGGGGATCTCTACGACATCGTACTGTGCGTAATTATCGGTGATATACCCATAACGCCTTAAGAGGTCGCTCCTAGGCAGCGGGCCATAGTCATTGAATATCTCTTCTCCCGCTTGAACTGGTTTCAAGGCCTTCATCTCCAGACTATCTTTCTCGTAGAAAAGACGGGCATTGCATCGATCGGCGTCGGCATTTAGCATGTCGGCTAACGGCACCATGCCTTTGGGGAGCGCAGCATCTTCCTCTTCCTCGGCAAAGCCTTCCTCGTCCACTTCTTTGTCTGAGATTGCAGGCTCGACGTCAAAAGCGTATGCCATGATCAGACTTCCCATCTTGTGCATGAGCTCCAAATTCTCCGGTGCGCGCATCTCTTTGGCCTTGTCCTTAGCTCTCTCGTCGCCACTGAATATGACATCCGCAAACTCTTCAATCACAGGTAGCAGCTGCTCGATAAAGACTTCATTTGCCCCCTCTTTGCCAATCTTGTTCACTACAGCGCTCGCCTGCAGTTCCGCCAACTCGTCTTCCGTCCAAAACATGAGGGTATCGAAATCGGTCGGCAGCACGGCGAAATATGGAGCCCAGTTTGAGGCGGATCCATTGTGATACTCATAAAGCATAACAAGAATGAGAGAAAGCCAGGGACCAAGGAGGGCGAAGGTAGCGGGAGGGATCTCGGTAGATAGGATGCTGTTTTCTACGCTGAGAATAGAGGAGCGGGGTATGTTGAAGAGAAGCTCATGCTCGGTAATCTCCTGCTTCGCAACTGTCGCATGCGTCAGTACAAGCTTCATGTATAGTGATACTTAGATAAAAAGACAAGGTGGAAGTGGCTTAGTGTGCCTGGTCATGCATGTTACTTACCGACGCCTCGTCCTGCATCTTTTGCGCGCAGGTCCTCCAGTTGTATTTTTGGATTGATCTGTGCACCGGTATGCTTCAGCCAATCCAAGAACTTCCGGCTGGTAACATCGAAGTCCGCCATAGAGAAAAGTGGTGTTGCGATGTGGGAGGCTTGGTGGCTGGGATTGTTCTGGTGGATATTATTTAGCGGTTGGGAGCCGAGGCTGCGCTTATTGGCCGATGTGGGTTATGTACTGGGGTGCGAAGTATCTGCAACACTCCCACCGAAGATTGATGCTTAAAAAAATATTGGGAGGATCAAGATAGATGTCTTCTGAGCGGATTTGTAACATAGCAAGGGTGGGCAAAATCTCGAGGGTTTTTTGTTTATGGGAGCGATTGGCAGACCCTGCAAAACCTGACTCGCTAATGTGACGTCTGTCCGTTGACAGCTTTGAACTGCTATCTCAGTCGTTTCTTCAGTCGAATCATAAATCGGGTTGGAGGCATTATCACCGATGTTCCAAGGCGAAAGTCTCGATATAATCTTGAATGTCTTCGCCACAGTTGTGGATCGCTGAATCCAGCGACCCGGGCTGTGGTTCAAATCTCGTGCTTTATCGATAAGCATTTTCAATCAAACCCACGTCACCCCGCATCGCTCGACGCGTCAATCACCCAACAACAGCGTTTGAGATAATGATTGCTATAGGTCTTGAGGGAAGCGCGAACAAGATAGGGATTGGTATCATATCCCATCCTGGGCCGAACAAACCACCCATCATACTTGCAAACCTGCGGCACACGTATAATTCCCCACCTGGCGAAGGCTTCTTGCCAAAGGACACTGCGATACACCACCGGACATGGGTCGTGCGGCTCATAAAGCAAGCGGTGCGCCAGGCTGGTGTAAAGGTTGAAGAAATCGATTGCATATGTTATACAAAAGGTCCTGGGATGGGTGCGCCATTACAAAGCGTCGCGCTTGCCGCAAGAACAATAAGCCTGCTCTGGAATAAGCCCATGGTTGGTGTGAACCATTGCGTTGGACGTCAGTATATCCTTTGCTTCTCAGCAAATAGCATAATGCTGACGCGATATAGACATTGAAATGGGACGGTCAATAACACGCGCTGACAACCCTGTCGTCCTTTATGTCTCTGGTGGAAATACCCAAGTAATCGCATATTCTGCCCAACGCTATCGGATCTTTGGTGAGACTCTGGATATTGCAATCGGGAACTGCATAGATCGATTTGCCAGGACGCTTATGATACCCAATGACCCCTTCCCAGGTTACAATGTTGAGCAGTTGGCAAAGAAGGGGAAGAACCTGGTCGACCTACCGTACGGTGTTAAGGGCATGGACGCAAGTTTCTCAGGAATATTGGCGGCAGCCGACCTCCTTGCACGTGGCCTAGACGAGTCGTTACCTGACGAAAAACGACTAAAGACCGAAGATGGAGAACTCGTGACAAAGGCAGACATGTGTTTCTCGCTCCAGGAGACCATATTTGCCATGCTGGTCGAGATCACAGAGCGTGCCATGGCACATGTTGGTTCCCAGCAAGTCCTAGTTGTAGGCGGCGTGGGTTCGAATTTAAGATTGCAGCAGATGATGGGCATGATGGCAAGGGATCGTGGCGGCAACGTATTCGCCACTGACGAGATGTTCTGCATCGATAATGGCATCATGATTGCCCATGCAGGCTTACTGGAGTACGGCACGGGCGTGATAACAAAGTTGAGCGACACGACATGCACGCAACGCTTCAGAACGGACGAAGTCTATGTAGGATGGAGAAAGGACTAAGGTATGCTTTTTTCAATATGACGTTCAACTCTTTGTCAGATTCACACCAGTCAGCTTATCGCGTGCTTGAGAGGAGGCCGGTGACAGTTTCCTATGGTATGCATATGTGTGTGTATATTCCATGCGAATTTATTCGTCTCTGACCTATGATGCCGCATCTGGATTCTTTCGCCTCAGCGCGGCAGCTGGGTTGTCGCTAATGCACGGCCAATGCAGCTGGTACCCGAAAAAGGCAAAGTGGTGGAATCATTGCTTACGTACGCGATTTCTATTCAACGTCAGTCTTTGGCACGCCTGAAAGTCGCTCGGTACATTTAAGCGCTCAGGAATAGCGTTCTCAGCATGATTGAATCCACAGAACTATGAACGCTTTATTAATTTTGTCAGCGCTTGCTGCTGTACTTGTTGCAGATAATAGTAGCGGATGCGACAAGCCACTTCCTGACGGTGTCCTTCCAAGCGAATCTACAAGTCTAACCATTGATAGCAAAAGCGGCGTCACACCTCGTGGGTATCGCCTACATATCCCCACATCATACGAAAGCAACACTCCTGTCCCACTGATATTATCGTTCCATGGCCGAGGCAAAACTGCCGAATATCAGGAAGCTTTGAGTCAATTCTCCAACGCGAGCTATGGATTTGAAGGTGTTGCAGTGTATCCTGAGGGAGTGCCGGTATGCCATTACACGAATACACAGCATGAAAAGTTGCTGACATGCCACAGAACAAAAAGGGGACTCAGCAATTCCAGGGCGACCCTGATGCTCCGGAATCTATTGACGATGTGGCGTTTGCCTTGGAGCTGCTGGATCACCTTGAAACGACATACTGTATCGATACTTCTCGCATTTATGCAACTGGAAAGTCAAATGGCGGTGGCTTTACCGGCATTCTTGCATGTGACGCCGAAGCAACAAAGCGCATCGCAGCTTTTGCTCCGGTATCAGGTGCTTTTTACCTCGATGCAAATCAGCAACCGCCACCTTGTAACCCCAGTCGTAAACCCGTCCCGTTAATGGAGTTTCATGGCTACCGTGATACTACAATTCCATATAAAGGCGGGATCAACACGCGCGGCAATGCAAACAGCTCAGACATTGTCACATACGTGAATGACTGGGCGCAGCGCAATGGATACGATGCGCTTGTCAATGCGACTACATACCTGTGCGATGGAGAGCGAAAGGTGATGAGGCATAGCTGGGACGATGTAGTCGTGCATTACAACTACACCAACATCGGGCATGATTGGCCCAGCTCCTTTCCAAATGGCGATACAGCTGACCTGTTGACATGTGAGGAAGCGGAGGCAACATCTATTATCCTTGAATGGTTCCAAAAGTGGACCATCTGAGACTTCAAAGCAAGCAGGGAGGCTGCCAAACATAGGTGGTGAAATATGCAATGGTACGATGAAACGGCAACTCACACAAAGTAAACGAGCGATACAAGTCGTTCCCAATGTGGATTGTTTTCTGCGATCTCACTGTATTTTCGTTTCTCCATGTTTTACGTATGAGTGACTGGGGTCTAGTAGACTCCAGACGATAGCACTGCTGTGGGCCTCATTGTAGTTTCCAATGGTGGGTTTGGTCATAGCAATCAGCTTGTTTCTGTGTCTTAGTGCATCAAGGCAACACTGTCGGGCGCGTGATGATAGCGCATGGCCACAAATATTGTGGACTACCCTTTTAGCTTCAATACTAGTAGGCATTCTTATTGGCATGGACAGCATGCTTGGGATCTTTCTTGCAATACCATAGCTCCTGCTAGAACGCGACCTCATCTCCTGTTGTGGCGACAGCGGCGTTTGTAAACACACTCCGGGGCTCCTTCTTTTGACGCGATCTTGGCCACGCTTGTCAGGTTTTTAAGCAACCCTAAACCTCGCCTCCTCATACAACTTCGAGTAACAACTTCAGTCTCTCAACTCAGTGCTATCTGGAATTCCTTCTGTTCATCACTATTGCAGGTAGGCAGCTGACGCCATGGACGATCACACTATTGCACACCCAAACGATAGCGAACCGTCAACTACTGATCAAGATCACTCCGCTCGTCAATTAGAACAATCCTATCGACACAACAGTGATTGGGAGTTCCGCTCTATCGACGATGATCGCCGCGCAGCTGCTCACGGCTTCGTTACACCCGAGGATCTATTGCTCGTGGCAGATAACAGCGGTGAGAGACATGATAATATCAAGATCGTTTGGACGGGAACAGCAGGTGACCCTGGCTCGAGAAGTGCTATAGTCGGCACAGCGTCGCAGCACCTGCAGACCATGTACGAGTTACGCAATTTACTTGGTCTCCCGATGTCGTTCCGAGGGAAAGTACCATCATACCCTGCCAACACTGATATTCGCGTAAAGCAATACTGGGAGAGAAAACATGGGTTACAATCGCTAGTCCGCGCTGTTCAAGCTCAAGCAACAGGCCAGCAGGAATTGTCGCCTGCAACGCCTTGCCCTAGATTGGCGACCCAAGAAGCGTCTGATCCTACGGTTATGGAGGCTTACAACGCAGAGAGAACGCAGGTAGTGCTGCCTCCGCCAGCAAAACCTGCATCTTCACATAGTTTCTCTCGTGCTCCGGAGGTGTTGGAGAAACCATCTGTACCAGCATATCGATTGCCCGAACGAACTGCGCCCCTCCAAAATCATGATGAGGCAACTCAGCGTCAAGAATCATCCTCAACAACTGTGGAGTCTTCAGCAGCAACATCTCATGCAAGAGACATATGGTCTCACAGTGATTTAGAGAATATGGCTAAGTTGCCATGCATAGATTGTGGAGACAATAATGGCCATGCAAGGGACTGCAATATTGGCAGTGAGTACTCGCTTGCCTAGCATATTCTTGTGGTACTAATGAGTTCCAGATCTCACCTTCAAGGAGCATCTCACAATGCTCGACTATCGTGTTTTGGCAGATATTGTTGAGCAATTTGACCCTGGTCCATGGACAACACACTTTAATCCATACCGAGAACCTGAGCCCGAAGATCCTCGGGTTCAGATAGCTGGTATGGCAGAAGTGATAAGAAATGAAGATAGCTACAAGAACGATCCGGAATTACATGATCTACCAGACGACCTTATGATTATTCTGTGGGCATTCAAAACTTCCGACTGCGTGGAAGTGATAAGCTTGTAAATCAGATGCCTATAACATCTCTGTCTTGAAACTGACCAGTGTTATATAGTGAGCGATAGTGGCAAAAAACATGTATTCAGAGCCGGTGTCCAATTTTTGCCAGCCCCTCTGTACTCATAGCACCCTCAACGGCTGAATCATCAACGGCAATTGGACCTTTCAGCACGCAACATGTGGTGAAACTTTACATGGCGAACATAAGGCTCTCAGTTTTCTTTCGTCTATACACATGTAGATACATGTGCTACGCTAGCGGCCGCCCCTGTTCAAAGTCTAACCCAGAATGGACTCTAAGTTGCAGTCAGAGATCGGAACGTGAAAGACACTCTAAATATAACCGAAGATAAGATCCGAAAACACAACTGCATTAGTTCAATGTCTGCTTGGATACCGGACTGACTGCCTGACTCGTTCCAAAATTGTAGTCGCGATGCAGCTACCCGATGCATGATCCGAGAAACCGAGGCATTGTTGTTACCCCACTTGGCGATGACAAATATTTGTACGTATCCACAACCAGGCAACAACTAGATGTAAAAGCTACCACGTTGCGTCTTGTGTAATGCTTAAATACGAACCACTCTTGGAACTTGACATTCCATTCGATTGTACCAATCGCCAAAACTAAAGGGGAATTTGCAACTTTCGTGACTCTTCTTCTACCCCAAGTGCCACGTATACTTGCTGGGATCATTGATATTATCAGCAAACCCTAGGCTGAATTCACGATTACATTGCATCTGCAACAATGACGGACTTTGAAAAGGCCATTAACGATGCCATTGCTGCGGAGGAAATTCCTGGTTGCGCTCTATCAGCGACGAACCGCGACGGTATATCTACACTCACTCTATGCTCAAACCCCAAGTCCTCAGTCTAACAAAAACCAAAAAAGGGACATTCACATACTCCAAAGCCTTTGGCAAAGCCTCCATGAAGCCCGATAACAACAAGCCCATGCAACTCGACACAATCATGTGGATAGCATCCTGCACCAAACTCATGACCTCCATCTCCGCCCTGCAACTTGTAGAACGCGGCCTCGTCTCCCTCGACGACCCCGTCTACAAGCACCTCCCAGAGCTAGAATCCCGCACAGTAATTAAAGGCTTCACCGATGCCGGCGAGCCCATTGAAGAAAAACACACAAAGCCAATCACCCTGCGCAACCTGCTCTCCCACTCCAGCGGCCTCGCCTACGAATTCATCCACCCGGTAAACCAGGCCTGGCTCAAGTACCACAACCGCGCCCCGGCAAGCAGTGGCAACCTCGTCGAACGCTTTTCCTACCCACTCGTCTTCGAGCCCGGCGAGAGCTGGGCGTATGGTCCCGGCATCGACTTCGCAGGGCTCCTCATCGAGCGCATAAGCGGCCAGACGCTCGAAGACTATATGAAAGCGAATATCTGGACTCCCCTCGGCATCAAAGATATGACCTTCTCCCTCTCCTCCCGCCCGGATCTCGCAGCGCGTCTCGCGGATATGTCAGCGCGGAACCCTTCGACAGGCAAGGTTGTGAATTTCTCCGGACCGCTGCCGTATGTGGATGGGGAAGGGAAGGAGGTCACGAGTCATATGGGGGGTCAGGGTGTTTTTGCCTCGATGGAGGAGTATGCGAAGATTTTGAAGGCGTTATTGGATGCGGATGGTGGGAAGGAGGGTGCGGTTTTGAAGAAGGAGTCTGTGGACGAGCTGTGTAAGGCGCAGTTGGGGGATAAGAGTCGGGAGACACTTACGGCAGCTTTGGAGGATAAAGCGGTATGTTTACTTTTCTTCTCTCTTTCACAATGTCTTCTCTTATGTTTTTCCAATACGGTTATCATGGAGCTGACGATTCGACTTTTTAGGCAAGCAATGCGATGGGTGGTCTGCCGATTGGCGTGCCCAAGGATCATGCGCTTGGTGGCGTTCTTCTAACGGGCGATGGTCCCGATGGCAAGAAAGCCGGAACCATGGTTTGGGGCGGGTACCCGAATCTCATCTGGTGGGTTGATCGCAAGACGGGGCTTTGTGGTATCTACGGTGCTCAAGTTGTTCCGCCGGGAGATGCAACGGTTTCGGGGCTGCAGCGCAAATTCGAAGCGGCCATGTATGAGAGGTTGGCACAGGAGAAGAAGTGACGTGCGTTCTCTGCGCGGTTGTCGCATTTATGAAGATGGAGAGTATTACTATCGGGAACTTGAATGTCAAAAAATCATCTATCATTATGTTCAATTAAAGAAAGCATCGTAACGATGTCGAGGCTTCGAGCTTATACTACAATTGCTTGTACAGGTCCTAATGACCAATTGTGACATCGCGTCAGTACTCCTCCCAGCCAATCATTCATCCTTTCGTCAAGGTGAAAAAGCAACTTCCATTGTATAACCTAGAAAGCACTCCGCAACCCCAAACGCCAGAAACAAAAGGGCAACAAACGCCAGTATCATATAATATCCTCCGACACAAGTCCATCTAGCGACGACGACCCTGTGCGCGCAGCATAGTATTGAGCTCAAGCGCCTCCTGCTGGCGGGCACTTCCATACACGGAGGGATGAGCAGGCATCTCTATCGGGCCGCCAATGATACCATTGCCACAGGGACCGCCGAGCCCTTCACCAACTGTACCCGTGGTGTCAATGCCAAACTCGCCCGTTGCATCAGTAGCGCATGTGTCGCCCCTGTTAAACGCCTCGATAGCGCTGAGATTGATGTCATCGAAAGACGTGGTGTCACTGATGTACGGAAGGTACTCAGGGATTGCCACGGCAGAGTCGGCGTTGTGGGGAGTGGAAGCGGACGGGCTGCTTGAAACGAGGTTTGTATTCGGATATGGAGACTGAGTGATATCGACGTGAGTGTTTGCGCCGATGGCTTCATAGTCTGGGGGCGACAGCAAGGTACCGGCTTCGGTGATCTTCTTGCTTGTGTTTGGGTCGATGGCCTGGAGGAGAGGAAGGAGGAGGCGGCCTTTTTCTTCGTCGGTAAGACTGGCCCATGTTGAGTTGTAGAGGTCTTTCATGGAGCGGTCTGCAGAGCGTCGCGTGGGGGTGGCGCGCTTCTTGGGAGTCTTCTTCTTAGGTGTCGACTTCTGCTTGATCACCTTTGTGGCCTTCATCTTTGGTAGTGGCTCCTTTCTGGTTGGAGGAGTAAGAGCAGGCTGCTGTGGACTGGAACTCAGGATAGGTCCCCACAAAGCTTCAATTGCACCCACTGGCTGCTCTGATGATTGGACTCGAGCAGGCTCAGTAGCCTGGGGTACAGGCGGTGTTGTGGTGCTTGTGTCTACCATTGGTAGATCAGAAGTCTTTGTTGGAGGTGAGGACGGCCAGTCGCACTGAGTGTCAACAGGCTCTTCGCCGGGAACCTCCACAGTCCAGAGCGACATGTCGCTCTGGAAGCTGCTGAAGGTGTCCTCCGATGCGAAGGAGTCCAAGAAGCTGTTCTGACTCGTAGAAGGCTCGAGCTGAGGGAGCTCCTCCGAGTCGCCCCAGAACGCTTCCTCAGCAAAGCTGGGTGGCAGGTTATCGCTCGAATCGGCAATGGGTATATTGCAGTCAGAAGAAGCGCCATTGAAATCGAAGAAGCTGTCTTCCATGAAGCTGGATGACGCCAGCTCCATGTCGTCGCTCAGGGGCTGGAAAGAATTCTGAGAAGTCATGATATCGGATAGGAGGAGGTATAAAATGATGAGAGTAGTTATATGATGATAGAAAGTGGTGTTGTAGCGATTTGAAAGTACACGGTATTGAGTGAGATGTAGCGAGAAACAGGAATTGAAACTGCAAGATTACAGAAAATTGATATGTGCGATGGAGGCTGGGCTCCGACTAAGCGACTGAGGGGTTGGTTAGTAACGGATGGTCCTAGCATACAAGAGATGTCTTACTTTGGTCGTCATCTTGGGGATCAACATGCTCAAGGTGGGTACTAGATCCCAAACAGGCAGTGTTCGATGAGGTGACAGCGAGCTATTGGCCCAGCCTCCCCCAGGCAGTATTGCCTTACTTGACTTTGGTTGCTGTGGTGTGGAGCAAACGGTCTAGAGCAGAGCGAATTTGTCCCCAGTTTCTCTCACTGTGCGTCCCGATGCGTTTGCCTAGCCTCATGCAAGTACAGATTAGGAAAAGATCCCGGCAAAAGATCTTCGAGTAGGCGGGACATCTGCAGCGGGCCGATTCCGTAGCTCTGATTCTTGGGTTTTGTGGTTGGTCTGTGGGGAGGTGAACTAGCCTGTTTAGCGGGAGTAAACGAATATACCCGCGTAGCTTATCTCTAGGTAATGTGAGGTAAGGCAGTTTGTGTGGAATCGTCGAAGAATTTTGCAAAGCGACTGCAAAAGACTCACATGGTTTGTGCGCTATCTGCCGTCAGTTCGTGCTTACGGTATCAGTGATAGACTGCGTGCGCCAATGGGACATACCGCCTGAGCAACATTGATACAACGATCAGCAATTGAATCACAACGAAGGAATACATTGTGTGTTGCAGTGATGTACGAATCTGAAGTAATTGTCGACACGCTGCGTCGAGAGAATTGTGAGATGAAATCACGTTCTCTTGATCCTGTGGTCTCAACACTTGGAACTCACCGTCAGTCAGTTACAAGTAATAGCGAAATGATCAATTCGTATGCTGTGCCTACTAAATCAAGTCTCAATGGCATGGTGCTCACACAATGGGCAACGAGAGCGATATGAATCACAGTCACCAACATAAGTAAATGCAGAACCATTAAGTCGCAATATGTGTATATTGATTTTGTATAGAAAGAAAAAACCATGCATGAACAATAATAATATCCAGTGCGCCTGTCAAAATCCCAAGAATACACGCGCATGCACGCCTGTAGCAAGGATCATGCAAATAAGCGCCAGCCGCCGCAGGATCTACTTACTAGTGGGAATCGTAACCCCACAAACTCAAATCGAACCTCATCTCACCATCCGTGCATCAGCCTTTTGTGTCCCCAACTCCAATATCAGGATATATATCTTCCTAGCACTCCTGTATCCTCAGAAGATTTCCGGGTCCTCCTCAAAATTGTACGAGACTATGTGGCTTGGACTGCCAGATGTCTCTGCGGACTCTGTCTGAATACCAAGCATGTCCAGCACGTCCAACTTGAGTATGTTATCCATATCATTGTAGGCTTCTCGCGTGAGATTTGCACGCTTCTTCAGCCACTCAATCTGATATGGAGGCGCGTACGGCTCTTGATATGGCGTGCGCGGTATGGGAGTTCGATCGCAGACAGGTACCCACGATGGAGGTAGGGTTTCGACTCGATCGGAGGCGGCGGCTTTATCTGAAGGACCATCTAGGCTGCTATCAGTGAGATTGCTGTTGCGAAGAGATAGATGAAACATGCCTGGTAGAGGAGGAGCCCCCATCGCCTTGCGATGCTGCTTGCGAACTATCTGCCCCTGGGCTTCAAGTCGTTGCTTCGCATCTTCTTCAGTAAACGGCTTGTACATCGGTGCAAGCCACACCTTATCCAACTCTGCGACTGGTACCCATCCCAGAGGTCGCAGCAGACGGAGAGCATCATGAGTGGCTGGGAGCCAGCCTGGTGTGAATCCCGGCTCGTAGTATTCGGCCGGGATGATTTTGGTGTCAACGCCGTGCAACGTAGTGGCGCAGGCGAATCGCAGCGCGTTCCTGTCTGCGACAGCGACGTTGCGCTCGAGGCGCTCCTGGACATGAACGTTATCACGACCCAACTCCTTGTTGAGTTCGTGAATCTCTTTACTGAGTGCTTTTGTCTTTGGGACTGCCTCGGCCCAGTAAAGAGTCTGCCAGTACGCTGCGGCCTTGTCCGCTTGCTGGATCTTGACCTCAGCCTTATCCTGGACTTGATTGATGTATTGTTGGAGATCGGCATTCTCCTTCGAGACCGTGATGTTGCGGTCTCTCAGCCTCTCGTTCTCCTCCCGTGTTTGACGGAGATGTCGGCGGAGGAGGTCTTTATCGTCCGCTGTGAGGCAATCATCCTCCGCGACTGCGTCGGCGAGGAAGTTGCGTTCTATGAGAAGGAGGCTTTGCTTTGCCTCGAGAACTCCCAGCTTGTTTCGAGCGAGATTCATCTCGTGCTCCATCATATCACATTTGAGAGAAATTTCGAGATTGTCATCGTCCGTCTTGTTGGCCTTCGATCGAAGCTCTTCATTCTCTGCACGAAGAAGCTTGACTTCGTCGTCAGACTTTTGGATCTTCGAAGCAATTCCCGAAAGACACTCGGACTCCATGGTGTTTGAGACTTTGGGGATAATATCGACAGTGCGAAGCAAATGATCGCTAATAGCAAGCTTCTCTTGAAACTCGTCAATCTTCTTCTGAAGATCATACACTTGTGCCTGGGCTTCTTGCTCCTTGTTGCCGTGAGACTCATAGTGGTCGCGTTGCTGTTGCATTGCCTCCAAAATGTTCTCAATCTTAATGTGCGCGACTTGGAGATCTGCACGCCCATCCTCCAACTCATTTTTCATGCGTTGGACCTCTGCGAACACGTGTTGAGCGTGTTCTTGCAACTCATCACCAGGTCTGTCGGTCAATATGCCGACCAACAGGTTATTCTCGGCTTTGAGGTCGTGATTGCAATTTGTCAAGCGCATGATCTCATCTTCGTTTTCGCGCAGAGCATCGCGGTATTCGCATGCCATCTGCTCACCTTCCGCCTCCATTGCGTTTTGTGCATTCTCCCATACGCAACGGTTCTTCTTACTCACTTCTGTGAGTGCGCGTAGCGCCTCGAGATGGCGCTTCTCCAGCAAATGGCGCTTTTCGGCAGCATCTCGATTGACTTCTGCGAGCTTTGCCTCATGCATCTCGTGGATGGCTGTCAGTACGGAGCGATGCTCATTGTTGAGCTTCTCCAGCTCCTGGTCCTTCTCTTCCAAGGCTGCTTGGTGCTCCTCATCTTTCTTCTCCAGAAGGGCTTTCGATTCCTCGTACGCCTTGGTGACCTCCTGATAGAGTGTCTCCATTGACAAAAACTCCTCGTAGGCTTGATCGACGAGGGCCTTGTCTCTGATTCGCTGCTCACATTTTTCAAGGGCCTTTTGCTCGAGCTTTTGATAGCTCTTGCATTTCTTGTACAATTCTAGTTCGAGTCATGCGGCTCGGAAGTTGAGCTTCTGTTTTCTCAGTGCCTCTACGAGGTATCCCATCTTGTTGATATATTCGCTTCCACAATAGGAAGTGTCATCTGTCTCAGGGCTTGATGCCCGCCCACTGCCATTGTTACTGCGAGGTGTAGATGCAGTTATTTCGGACATGTCTTTTGCGTTCATCGTGGTGCGGCGATAGTCCTTCCATGTATTGTTGGTTGCCATGTGGATTCGTGCGGCAATCTGTTCGGATTGTCGGTCAGCAATCCATCGCACACAATCATTTTTTTGGGAACTTACCGTATTATGGTTCGGAACAGAAAGATCACAAAACACCTTGTTACCATGAATGCTCTTCACTGAACGAACCATCTCCTGATGATCGGGTTGGATTTGTGAATGGGAAATTTCGGCGGTCGAAGAACTACTGATTTCGCAGATGGCTTTCTTGAACGAAGTGATGATGAAGTAAGCCATTGTGAATATCAAGGATTGAACTGCAGATGGTCAGCTAATATATCTATTAGAAATTGAGTGGACATACTTGGAATTGAGCAAGTGTATCGCGTTAACAGATTCGATATATAAAAGCTGCTGGTCGATTGGAGTGAACAGAGGATTTGATGGAGTCTATATAATCGTATACTCAGTATCCAAAAGCGGTTGATGAGAAAGGAACAAGCGATCTGCGTGAACGCAACAGTGTGCACGTGTTGATTGTACATTCACTCTATACTTGCGCCTAACGCCCAAGGTGTGTGGGGCGCTTTGCTCAAAACCAACCTATGGGAAGCGTTTGAGGTCAGGCGGCGTTGTCGAAGCGACATGATTGTGTGCGTTTACGCTGCGATTTTTGTTTGTTATTCCTCATGTGGTCTGTTAGCGTTCACTTTGGACAGGCCAAGACTACTGTTGTGGCCTCGCAAGAACGATTTCTGTTTGATATCCCTCATATGGTACGGTATCGTTGACTCTGAGCAGGCCAAGATGACAGTTTTGGCTTTGCTAAGACTGTTTTGAAATGCGCAGGTGGATGACGTGCTTTTCATCTTCCAGGCCTACCGCTTTTGGCTGTTTCACGGCAAAGCATGCTCAAAGAGCCATGTTTATATAGCAAATGTCACATTGCTTTGCGTATCTTGATCTTTCGCAAATAGATTTCAGGGGCGAGCAATGGTGGCCTTCAATTGGTTTCATTCAATTACTGTACTGATTTGACTTGCGGTAAGGAGATTGAATAGTCTTGCTATATCGTGAACACATACATGAGAGTTGCTGATTGTGAGCGCTGTCGAGCCAACATGTTGAGGGCGATGAAATGTAAAACACAACAATCGCTATTTATAATTATGACTTGAAGAAAGAGGATTCGAACAATCCCTCGATATCGAGTGCGATGCATTGAACTAGATAAATAGCATATGGCCATCAAATCATATCCGAACCACTGATATAGCCTCTACGCCTCCACAGCTACCTGCTCATTCTCTCCAACTTTCCTCTTCTTCTTACCATGGTGTCCGCGCGCCTCGACTCTACCCTCAATGGGCAAGACACGGGTAGCAGTGAACAAGTAACCCTCGGCGCCACCCTTGCTCGTCATCATGGGATGGGTGCGCCCAGGGAGAACTTGCCATTGCCTTGCGCGCGCAGTCTGCAGCGATGGCGCAAGCAGCAAAGTCGGGTTCAGCGGGAAATCGTCGTCTTCATTACTAGCCTCTGTGGTACTACCATTCGTCTCTGTTTCATCTTCAGACTTTGCCTTGTGCCCATTGGTCTGTGGTGCAGATCCGAATTCTCGTGCTATGTAGGCTGCACGGCGCTCTTTCGAGTAGTAGTCGCATAGCTCAACTAGAGGCTCGACATTGGGATTATAGACGACTACCCTTCCACCACCGCGGACAAGAGGGACCAGTTCTTTCAGTACAGTCTTTGCATCCATAGCTGTAGCGACGACCAAGCCATCGAAGCCACCTTGGCGCGTCTCGTCAACGACACTCTTAACGCGTTCCCATCTTCTTCGCTTTTTGTAATACGTTCCTCGCTTTGTGGACTTCATCGTTGCAAGGACATCTTCAGATATTACTTCTGGTTCATCATAGGATGGGTCATCCTCAGGATGGAGTAGTGAAAGCCATGATAATGATTTAAGGTGCTTGTACAGCGGATGCGAAACAGTGGGTGCGCCATAATCGTAGCCGAAATACTTGAGATAGGAGAGGTTTGGTTGATTGTTAGGATGCAGGACGGTGAGGGTATTAGTACGCGCAGACATTTGGGGAATATGGGGCCGCGGTGGCTTCCTTGGCTTTGGAGGAGGTTCTGAAGGGGCTGCAGTTGTCGAAGGGTCAGTAGTGTTTGTAGGATTTGATGCGGAGGTAGCCTCTCCATCAGCATCAGGCATAGCGATGTCCTCATCTTTGGGTTGTGGGGCATCCGTTGTTGCTGCGGTCCCATTTTCGGCCCCTTCTGGAGTTGCAACGTCCTCTTCTGAGTCAGATTCGTCGTTCTCGTCGTCGGGATACAGGATTCCCATTTTCTCAGCAAGTGATGCGGTGAGCAAGCCTCCGGTATCGTCCACGACAAGCCATCGCCCTCCTCCTATCTGACTGACACCGTCTTCGCCAATGATAATCTGGTTCGTTTCTCCAGAGTGGACATTGGCCCAGCTGTTGATCAAACCCAGTAGGTCTTCCCTCAGCTCCATGATTTTGTACGCTTCCTTCTCCAAAACGTACTCAGTAAGCAGACCGACATCCATGGGCAAGGCAGTAAAGCGCTTCATGTACTTTCTTGATTTTCGCAGCGTGTACTTGGCCAAAGAGAAGCTCGTCTTTTCGTCAATGGCATTGTGAGAGGCCATGATCTTGGCAATAATTTCTTTACCAGACCCGGTACCAGCTTTCTTCAGCTCCTCAATTTCAGCCATGGACAATTGCTGGCGTGAAGCATCGTCAATTGTTAAGCGATTATTGCGCATTATGACCTGACCATCTTCTCCCACAATATCGAAGCCCGCACCAGCCTCGGCTACATCGTCACCAGTGTCAGCGCTGGGCGCATGGTCACTGCCGAGAGCTTCAGCATGGAGTTCAGAGGCAGGAACAACGCGCAGTTCAGTCTGAGTTTTGCCGTCGTCTTTGTCGAGGAGCTCATAGGTAAGATAGTAGGGCCGTCCGAGGATGAGGTTCGAGTTGAAGGTGCCGAATTTTCCAAGATTTATGGTACTTCATTATGTTAGTATAGTCTTCGCATGCACATGTACTCGGAGGGCTCACTCCAGCTATGCGACGTACGTATTCGGGGTGGTCTCGACAATCTTGAAGAGGCCCGACGGGAGCCGCAGAGCCACGTGCGTATTGGGGCGAATGTAGGAATGCATGGTGGCGCGTGATTGTGCCCAGTGAAAGACAAGTCTATTCCATATGCGACTGTGTTTTAGACGAGTGGCATTGATTTGGCGCACTCTGATCTGTGGCGGCGACGGGCGCAAAGAAGAAGTTCTGGAATTAGTGGATTGGGTGCAGGGATCCGGGCCGGAGGAGCCACATGTGCACAGCCACACTCGGGCGCATCAGCCACCCGCTTCACGTCATCGCCTCCGCTTGGTTCGCGACTTGGGGACTTGACTGTTGAGGCCGCGTATGCCACTCGGCTCTGGTCTTCTGTCTGATTATATTCACCGCTGGCCCTAACCACCGCCGACCATCGCTACCTCGCTCATCTCCGCCTCCTCCCTCCTATCCAACTAACAACCGCACTCTGAGCTTCACTCGCGCGCATCGGCTTGTCGAGAGCTGTGCCGAACCACACCACCACTCATCAGGCTCTCTATCACCAACCATGGTGCTCCGGAAGCCTGATGAGCAGGATGGCCTCGTGCCAGCGCCTCTCTCCAAGGCAAACCCTCCATATCCAACCACTCCCTCGGAAGAGTACGCCCCTATACTTCCCTCGACTCCCGATAACAGCATACGCCCGCCAAGCGCATCCAAGTCGCCAGCCTTCAACATCAAGACACCACAAGACGCCCACCCGCCTAAAAATGGACATGAATCAGACTCAGACCTCAGCGACGACGAGTGGAATCAGACTGACGATGAATTCGAGGAAGTCGATCACCAGCAGGTGCCCGCTGCCCTGAAACCCGCAGGCGGCAAGATACCGCCTGTGCCCAAGACAACTAATGTCACCAACGACCTTCCCAACGCGTTAAGGGTAGGCCCGCCCACTGGTATACCCATCAAGAGATCGAACGAAAGCATGTCGTATGTGCCCACTGGTGGCAATGCTGCATCATACGGCGGTAGTGCTGCGTCGTATGGCGCCAGGAGCAACGTATCGGAGCAGTCAAATGGTTCCATCCCGCTTCAGACCAACAACCCGTACCTGAAAATGCAGACAACTGGCCAGAGCAACCTAGGTGCAGAAAGCAGCGAAGCTATCTGGGGAGACTCTGTGAGCAATGCCTACAAGTACGATGCGCCAGCCGAGCTGCCAACCCACCAGACACCAAGCACCCCTTCCCATGAGATGCGCAACCTTGCCTTGGATGATCGCGCCCCATCCGTACACCCTGCTCCTCCCGCGTATGAGCCACCGGCCATTGCAGTCAACTCGCCTACTCCACAATCCGAGCACACTGCTACCCTGATTGACACAAATCCTTGGGAGTCTGCGCCTGCCCAAGGACACTCTCAACATACCCCCTGGACTGTCCCAGCAGCCAGTGCCAGCAGCAGCAATGTAGCTTCCAGCGCGGCACCCGCCCCAAATGCCCCAGAGAACATCCCTTCTATGCAACAGACGCCGCCACAACCACAGTACACTCCTGAACCAACGCCCCCGACCTCTGAAGAGAACCCGCCAGCACTGCCGCCAAGGGTATCTCACGAAAATTTGACACCTGCTATGCCTCCGAGACCTATCGACACTGAGATAGGCTCGAGTGTAGCGCCTGGGTTAGAGTCGCCTAACACTGCGATGAACCGACAAAGGAAAGAGCACTACCAAATCAAGCATGTGCGCTGGTTCGACAATAGCATCAAGGATATGCGTGTTTCACCTATCCTTACGCAAAACTTGAATGGACCATGCCCACTACTCGCCCTCGTGAACGCGCTTGTTCTCTCCACTCCCGCAAACGTCGAAACTGCGTTGGTCGAAACCTTGCGCACGCGCGAAACAGTCAGTCTAGGGCTGTTGCTAGATGCTGTGTTTGAGGAGCTCATGTCTGGGCGACGTGGTGATGCTGCACAAGAACTGCCAGATGTAAGCGAGCTGTACAAGTTCCTCCTCGCATTACACACTGGTCTCAATGTCAACCCCATGTTCGTCCCTGACCCCAATTCAGCCGCCAGTCATGCCACACTTACGAACCGAGCTGGTGCGTTTGAGGATACGCGGGACATGAAGTTGTATCGGACCTTTAACATCCCCCTGATGCATGGATGGTTACCAGAAGCCGGCACGGATGCCTTCGTCGCCTTCAATCGTGTAGCTCCTTCTTACGAAGCGTCCCAGTTGGTTCAGTTCCAGGAAGAGGAGCTGAACATGAAACTGAATGCAGGCGACTCTTTGAATGAAGAAGAACAACAGATGTTTACGGATATTCATGCCATCAAGGAGTTCCTAAATAGGTGGCCGACCCAGCTGACTGACCATGGTCTCAAGGTCATTCGGGACAATCTACAGCCCGGCCAGGTTGCAATTCTTTTCCGGAATGACCATTTTTCTACGCTTTGCAAGAACCCCCGCAACGGTCAGCTCGTCACTCTCGTTACCGATCAGGGCTACGCATCTCACGACGAAATTGTTTGGGAGTCTCTTATGGACGTCAACGGTCAGGGAAGTCAGCTTTTCTCTGGTGACTTCCGCTCAGTCGACAACAGCAATCCATCCTCGGGACAGCATGGTCAACAGCCTGGGAATCTCATTGATGTTGAAGATAATCAGGGATGGACTACAGTACAAGGCCGTCGAGACAATCAGCAGCAGTCAGCCGCTTCTGGGGGTGATGCACAGGATACGGAATTGACATCACCCACTGGCCTCAGTAGAGCTGAGCAAGAGGACCATGACCTTGCGCTAGCACTACAGCTGCAAGAAGAAGAGGAGGACCGCCAAAGACGCGAGACTGAGGAGCGTGCACGCAACAACCAGGTACCACAACCTGGTGGCGTCCGTCCTCCCTCTCGACCTGAACAACCTCCAGTCATACCCCCGCGTCGCAACAACATCACTGGACACCGCCCTGCTGCCGAACCTGCTCCACCTCCAACGTATGAGGAAGCATCTGGAGCACCACGCTACAACCCACCAGCAGGCCACCCTGCCAACCCCGGAGCCCCGATACCTCAGCACGGCAGCGCATATCAGAGCACAAGCGGTATCCGCCCTAACGCAGGACGCCCCATAGCTTCACCAAACATGGGTCCTGGTAGGCCTGGAAGAAGACCGAGTGCCGGTACGAATGGCCAGGCCGGTCCAAACGGAAACGGGGAAAGGGAAAAGTGCATTGTCATGTAGATGCCTCAAATCTGTCTTGCGGAAAGCTTTCTTTGTTACTTGATACTGACATGATTTTCATGGATGCTTTTTAGGGATCGCTCCGACGCCCCTTGTTGTGGTTGCAATGTCTGTTAGATTTGGTAAACTAGGCGTTTTTTGTCATGTGGAGGAGAATTGGCTATTATTATACCCGGTGTTTTTGTGGAAAGTGAGATTGTAGTCTGGTCAGAGTACATAGGGACTAATTAGTATGTGGAAATTGAGATGCAAGTGTACTATTACATTCGTCCTTTGTCTTATCATCGTTTTTTTGTGCTATTCATCTCATACCTTCAACCCTATTCCTACAAAAAAGCCATCAGATGATTGATCTGATATCCTATTGCTCAAAAGAAACCCACACCCGTACATAACCTCAAGTCTCCCAGTCTCAAAGAAACAATCCCATCATCCCTCAACCCCTACATGAACCGCTCAGCCTGCCTCATCTTCTCCCTACTCTCCATCCTCGCCAACTCCCTAACCCACTTATCCTGCTCCTCGAGACTCTGCCTCGACACCCGGCAATCAAGACCACTCACACTACCACAACGCTGCTCCTCCTCCCCATCTCCCCGCGGCGTAACCCCCTCCCTCTCCACCAACACCGCAGTCTCACACTTCCAACTCGCGCTACTCGCGCTACTCGCCATGCTGCTCCTCACCTCAGCACGCGTAGAGTGCGTTGTACCGGGTAGGGGGCGCAGAGCGGGATGCACATCGGTATTGTATGTCAGCGTGCCTGTGAGACGGAGTTCAGTGCGTTTGCGTTCCATGTTCTTGAGTTCGTCGGCCCAGTCGATGAGGTCTTGGAGGGTGGGGGCGTGGCGGCGGGAGGTGCGGAGGGAGGGGGTGAGGGTGGGGGGTATAGTTGTTGTGATGAAGGGGGGGCGGAGACGGGGGCGGGTGGAAGTGCATGGTGGGATGCTGTTGTGGTTGCGGAAGGGGAGGTCAGAGGGGAGTTGGGTGGGGGTGGGAGTGCTGGTTGACCTGTAGCCTGGTGTGCGAGTGCAGTGCTGTGAGTCTTCGATGATGGATGCGTCCGGCGAGATATCACGGAGGATGAGGTTTCGGGTTGCGGTGTTCTCGATTAGGGACACGCAACTACTGCTTGCGCTACGGAGGCTGCGTACGAAGTTCTCGTAGTCGTATCCCTCGTCGTCGCTGCTATCCTCGTCCCCAGCTTCGGCACGACACTTGACAATGTACTCTGCGTCTTCGACTATCTTGACTGCCCACGCACAGTGCACTGCTTCCTCGGTGAGTCGAGTTTCTCGGCTCTGGCGCTTCTCACGATTCATACGCAGGAGATTGCGTTGTGCGTCAAGTGTAGTACTGATTTCCCCTGCATGTTCATTGAAACTGAGCCATGAATCGACATCTTCTAGTTTTTCAACCGTCTCGATGCTGTAATATCGGAGATGTGAAGCTTCATCATCGGCGAGCTCCTCTATCTTATCCGGCAAAGTCGGGTCGGTATGCAACGAGAGGTCCAGCTGGCACGAGTCGAGAACGTATTGCGAGGCTTGCAGTTCGTCTTTGGGCTTGACCATGGATGGGTGGATGACATCGTGTTGGCCGTCGGAAGATAGGCGGAGGGCGTGTCGATTGGCGCAGAGATGGAGAGCCATCTTCTTCACGTCTCTACGTACTTCATCGTAGGCCGCTTTGGCATCGGGGTCGTTGGGTGGGTCTGATGCCCAGAGTCCGAGTGGTACGGCAGTGATGGGCGTTGATGTGACAGAAGCTACACTCGCGGGTGTCTTGGGCGAGAGAGATGCCCATACACCTCCCTCAGCAAAGGCATTCTTGGTCGGGCCTGAAGTAGCAGATAGTGGGGTTGGGGGACCAGAAGCCACGATATCCCACCGAGGTCGCACACTTGCTGAAGAAGATGTGACGATGCGCGGGAGGTGTGCTGGGCGTAATGGGTGCGGACCCGTCGGTGAGGTTAGTGACGAAGAGCTGAAGCGTAGTGGCCGACGGATGCCTTTTGCGGTGGTCAACTGTGTAGGCTGCATTGGTGGATGCCACCCAAATACGATAACGTTGTCTTCTTTTGCAACCCGCTCAATCTGGCGTACAACTTCCCTCCACTTAGCTTCCGTAAACCGCTCTTTATACCAATAGATAACCTGTTCCCAGAAGGCCGGGTGCTGCTCTATTTCGAGACTCTTCAAGCCCCATTTCTCGTGTTTGCTCAGCTCCTTGCCTGTAAGTGGGGATGTCTGTTTCTTGTTCTTCTCTTTGTCCACGTGATCTTTCACGGAGTCTTCGGTAGGGGTTTGGACGGGGGCTTCGACGGGGGTTTCGACGAGGACTGTCACGGGGTCTCCCACAGGGTCATCCATGGCGGCTGCCATACGGATCTTGATAAGGCCTTCTACTGAAGGAGGAAAGAAGACTTGTCGGAGGTTTTCAGAATAGCAGTTGTGATCGGTCTGTCTGCCTGCCACAGTTGTAGGAAAAGATCTCCGACAGAAGCCCTACCTATATAGTTGCCAAGACCGGGCGTGAAAGTGAAAGCTGATCAGTGAGCGAGTTATACAACGTAAGGTCAAGTCGCGCGCAATCATTGTTCAAGATTTGCGCGTTGTGTCAGGGTCTCGGCATTGTGCAAACCTGCAAACGCGCAACTCGAGGTGAAGCGCCAGCCAGAAGAGAAACAGTGGGAGAAGCAAGCAAAAATGAAACGAGACATGGCTTTAGTATTATGTAGCAAGCCTTTTCCAAATGGTATCCAACTCCACTGATGCAAAGCAAGACCTATTCTAAGAATGTAAAAAGATTTGTATGTACAACATTAAGGGCGCGGTCGGCTTCGCGCTCCTCAATGACGCAAGATATGTTAATCTCGCTAGCGCCTGCAATGAGTTAGCAGGTGGTCTCCTTAAATATAGCGAAGCTTCAACATACCTTGCGAGATCATTTCAATGTTAATGTTGTTCTGGCCCAACACACTAAAGAACTTGCCGGAGATACCAATCATGTTCTTCAGCTGCTTGCCCACTAAACTTACAATAGCCATGTCAGGCACGATATCAATGGTACCGAGAGCACCAAGGTCATTTACAGCGCCTTGGAGGTCCTTGGACTGGATCTTGTAGTCGTCCTCACCTCCGCCACTTAGGAGAGCAGACTCGGAGTGCAAGGCCATGGACACGTGCACCTCGGATGAAGAGATGAGATCAACAGACAATCGCCAGTTGTCCAAGATGTTGAAGATGTTCATCAAGAAACCATGGGCACGAGTGCGCTTGTTGCTGTGAACGTTGAGCACAACAATGTTGTGCTTGATCGTCACAGCGGTGGGTCGCTTAGGCCCTTCAAGCTGAGTAAGGAGACTCGAGGAGCGAGTGCGGAAGAGTCCCGTATCCTTCAAAGGCGAGCGGTCGTCAATATCCCGGAGATTGTCAGGGAAGATGATGGTTCCAGCATTGCGTGGGTTCATGACATTCTTGATGCGAATGGGGATGCGGGCGCGAATGACCTGCTCCATGGTGAAGGGGTGAATAACTTCGGATCCGTAGAATGTCAATTCAGCAGCCTCTGCAGGAGTGACGCTGGGGAGCAGCGCGGCAGTAGGAACCTTGCGTGGGTCTGCGGTGAAGATTCCATCCACCTCTTTCCAGACTTGCAGTTCCTTTGCCTTTATGCCAACGGCAACCAAGGCGGCGCATAGGTCGGTATATCCGCGTCCGATTGAGGTCAAGAGACCGCCGGGCACGTTTCCAAAGAAACCAGTAATGACGGGAACCTTGTCTCCACATGCTTCCACTTGGCTAGCGAAGTCGGCAGCCAAGTCCTTGTAGAACTTTTCTTGCAATCCTCCCTTAATGGGCGCGTTGGGCTTGATCACGTCGCTGAGGTCGACGAACTGGGCAGGCGTACCACAGTCGTTCAGTATAGCGGCCATATAACGACAGCTCAGCTTCTCGCCCTTGCTGATGATCTTGTCCTCGGTGTGGTTGGTGACCTCCTCGAGATGCTGGGCCGACTCCAAGATCTTGATCAAACTCTCGCACTCGGCGTTGACCTCTTCGGTATAAGACGCTAGAATTTCCGGGCTCTTCAAAATCTCCTTGCCCGCCTGGATATGGTCAAGGCGAATGGCTTCGACGATTTCATCATAGGCCCGGTGGTTGGGTCTCTCGGCAGCGCGAGCGGCACGAAGGAGGCGGTTGGTAGTTCCTTCGAGCTTTGTGTTGCTGCTGCGCGCAGAGCAGACTATAGCGGCGCGATTCGTCTGAACACCGGCTCTGTGGGGGGTTAGTGCTTTGTGCTCGTCTTGCGCATTTGAATGGGCGTCGTACTTGACAATGTCCGCTATATTCTCCGGGAACTTGCCGACACTTGTACCACCGAACTTGAGAACCACCCATCCTCCAGGAAGATGCTTCTCTTCGGTGTGAGCTATCCGCTCCGACTGGTGGGTGTGTCCGTTTGTGTATGCTGACATTTTTGAAAAGGTGGCTTCTCGAGTTGGGCTCTAGTCAATTGCGCGTGCAGATTTTTTCTGGGGAGTATATAGGTGGTGAGGGTGTCTTGGGACGAATGTGTTGAAGAGCGGATGACGTGTGTCGTGCGAAGTATGGGGTTGTGAGGATTGAGCGAATTCTCGAGTGCTTTTAGCGGGGAGCCCTGAGTCAAAAGTTCGCGCGCCCGCAATCGGCGCTGTAGACACTGCAGGGGATGCAGACGCCGCGCGACGCCAGCGAATCCTTTGGGCTAGGTTCACGCCGCTGACACAACTGCGCCGGTTTAATAAAACAAAAAGAAAATGATGCAGGGACGGGTCGGTGCATGCACGCCAGCTGAGTGTTGATCCGAACCGTCGGCAGTTCTATCGCCAACTGTTCACGTGCTCGAGCATGTCCGCTGTTTTTCCCTTCTCCCTCTCTTCACCGCTGCGACTCTTCGACGGCTCCACTTGATTTTGCGGAGACACCATGTGGCTGTTGAGGAACCCGATGGTATGCTGTAGGCGCTGTGACACCGGGGCTTATCAGATGTAGTCAGACTATGAAGTGTCCGTTGCATGACTAAAGCATGCACGTCCGCGCTTGAGTTACCATGTACTAAGCCGAGTGGTTCTCCTGGATTCCGGACAGTCATGCGAAAACAAGGAAGGTGGCATATTTGAGCCATATTGTGGAGTGTACAAATTTGGATAGTTAAATCCCGCAGCCAGCATTTTTAATCTTCAATCGTGAGTGAGCCACGTAACATGCTACTAACACACGAAACCACCAGATTCTACAAAAGCATATGAATGCGGGGATCTATAGCTACACGTACATTTTGTTGGAGGCCTAACTCTTATACATTTATCTCTTACCGCGTTTCTTCGTTTTCCTATTGCAATCCACATTATACTGGTTGGATTTTATCTTGTCGGATCTGATCTCGCAACCACAAGTATGAGACGAGAGCATTGGGCTTGGGCAGCTGCCCGCTCAGGGTAGAAGTATGCTGTTAAAAACTAATCAGAAGAATGATAAGCTGCATGAGATGGGGGTTAAGCACGAGAAATCAGCCTTGTGCATTAAACCTGATTCGTACTTTCAAAATCTCATACAGATTTGCATCTACAATTACAATCTCATGTCTCGTGTCTCATGTCTCATGTATTTCGGCTTTGCCATTGGGTATCATCATTACTCTGAAATCAAAATTCCGCCTGCATTAATACCTATGTGAGACTCATAATTGTCGTCTTTGACCGTCGCATGGCAGGTCCATCTCACGGAGATAAACAGCAAGCACCACCTTGCGGCACTGTTTCTTGAAAGATTGCACATGAAGCACGTCATTCAAGGCCCTCGAAAGTTACTTAAGAGGCACAGCAGTGAGAGATAGGGTTTGAGTGTGATCTCTTTCCTGTCAGTGCCTCAAGCGGAAGTTCTTTGTTCTGGACCCACTGGATAACTCAAAGTCAGTTTTTTGCATTATAGCCCTGACATGCTCCTTGAAGAAAGGTAAACTTACGTGCTCAGCAATGCATCCACCATCCATACGGAACCCCTCAACAACCTCTCTGGACTGCGTTTTATACTTCACCCAGCCCTGGGGATACTGAAAAGTCGCGCCCAGCGGCGTGATGCTTGAAGGGTCCCAAGTGAGCGACAAAGCATCCCATCCAGTATCAAATCCATTTGGCAATGAAATACCGTGGTTCTGTCGTTGCAGCCCGAGGTCAGCGCACTTGATAGATTCCTTCGCCCGGAACGAAGCATGCTTACAGCATAGTCCTGGGTAATATATGAAAACGCCTTAGTGATATCAGACTTATAGATCAAAGCTTGCACGAAAGCATCGAAGCGATCCTTGTTCTGCTCTTTCGTGGTGCTGGGGTCGCGCACACATGGCGCTGGCTTAGCAGGAGTTACCCGAGGCTCCACCAATACATCGGCTCTAGCGTGCAGACCGTTTGGTGCTGCAATCACAGAGACAAACGTAGCGATCGTCGAGGCGAGCAATGCAAAGCGCATCGTAGAAATCAGCTTAGAGTTTCTCAATCTGTCAGTGTTCCGGGGTGGATGTTTGTGTGTCACTTCAGGCAAGTTGGTGTAGATTTATAGGTGTCTTTGCCCCCTCTTTTGGCGTCACGCTCACAGCTGAACTTCGGCCATATTATCTGCATTACCCCAGGATTTCTCGTCTGCCGCTCAATTGCCTACCTCCTTTCCTACGCCACCAAGAATGCAGGGGTCGCTGCAGATTTCGCAGTGTTCGGCCAAAGGCGTAATAAACGCCATAGTACAATTGAAATGTAACTTTTTAGCCAAATACTGTAATCCAGCACCTCGTTCATCACTGAATGATCTCTGAATCGGCCAGAGGTTGGCTGGGTATGTAGCTTTGTTGTCACATAATGCTGAATTTGGTATAGTGCTAGTCGCCCTATCCTTGTCAGCCTGGAGCTGTTCTGTAATCATCACCAAGGTAAAATTTGAATTCATATCTTGGTACCATTGATATCAGACAGATCAGCGCTAGGCGTTAATGTTGTTCTATCTTGGTTGGTGGTCACTTGGCCTGAGGCCTCACCGGCTTTACTCCGGGGGCCCTCCACACTTATGGGAACGATTAGCGAATTTTGCGGGGAAACGAATGCTACTAGGTTTCTCCCTAGATTCGGCAGTTTAAAGGGTCAAAATCGGATGCAGAGTCCAAAATCTCGTGGAAATTCATTGGGTCGGCCCGTTGGTCGGTCGCAGTCATCGAGCCTTGCACTGTGGCTTAACAGCAGGGGCGTGAGTTTCTTTGGGAGAGCGAACAATATCAGCAAGCGCTATTCGCAGAGATGGTAGTAGTCCGCATATGTGTTTCTATATAGAGAAGAGCGGCCGAAGGTCGTTGTACTTGAACAATCTCTATTACGCTCAGCCTTCTTGTATTGACGCTTCTCGATGTCCACAATATGACTTGTAGCAGGAACTTAGCCAATGACCTTTTACTGCCCTGATTGCTGCATATTTTCAAGAACGCAGCATTGCTTCACGTCTCGCACATCACTGGTCCCGGCCGGTAAGATGAAGTAAAGGTCGCTTAAAACCGGTCGTTGTTAGCTTTCCTTTGGTCCTTCGGCAGTTGCATTGCATCAGAAAATTGATAGCATGCGTTTCGGTAATTGCCATGTGATGCATGTTGCACCAAGTCGGCGCTGGAACGGTTCGGCAATTGTGTGAGATGTCAGCTTTTGCACAACGGCCGGTTGTTTATTTACATGCGATCACGTGCCTCGAGTCACGCCCAGTAGCATAAAAATACAAAGACAGCAGCATGATTTGCTGCATTCGCGTTTTCACTTGGTTTCATGGGACTAAACAAGAGATGAAGTTCTTTTATTCCCTTATTGAATATTTTCTTAGACATGCAGCGTGTAGTGTCTTTCTGTCACTTAACCATCATTGCATACGTATCCAGAACTCCATATTCAGCCTCACTTGAACATTATACTTTAAAATTTCCGCCTTGTATGCATTGTTTCCATGATCGTGTGTTGTGCAATCGCGATAGACTGAAGACAGGTGTGAGACCTCGGCTATGTCATCAGTTCGCAAAATGATCAACAGCGACGGTCAGCAATCAAAAGGATCGAATATCCATGCTTTCATAAGACATGGATCGGAAACTATATCGAACAAACTTCTGACTACAGCGACGATCGAGTATATATAAATACACAGCATACACCGCAGTCAGCAGCCTCACTGTCGTGTGCCTTATCCTTTAGCAAGATAAGCAATGTGCATGATCACGTGCATCGTCTCGTAGTCTCTCTTGTTATAATTTCAGATGGGCCTTCGTATTGGTTAAAATGATTAACTTGCTACCTACCTAGGAACAATATATGATCTTCCATTGTTCTTTTCGCGCATAATGATTGTGTTTGCGGCTGATGAAGATCACAGGAACTCAAGGATCAGAGCACACTGAATAGAAGCACGACTATCATAACCACTCGTATGCCATACCTTTCTACTTTCCTGTTTAGTTCAAATACCTTATATCTAGCCGCGAGAGATCATTGGCCACCTTATACGTACGCTCATCCCGCGTGGCCTCGGCGCAAAACGCTTGATTGGTCCATTCTCCGCTTAGCAGAATCTACCAAAAGATATCTCACAATCTTCACAAAGCAATCAAATCCTCCGTTGTTGACTGTTTTCGGACGATTGCAGCGATGGACGGACTATCTCGACTAATGGTTGACGTCATTAACCCGCCGCTAAGCCGTATTTGGCACACTACGAAACCTTCCGGAGCCGAAACACAGAGCGTATAGGTAGGCGATAGCTTCACGTGTCCAGAGTGGAAGATATTCGTTTTTTTTATCATACTTACGATTCACTCACTCACGTCGAAGCGACCGCAAGCGTCTGGTCCAGTAGAACAAGTTGCCCGCCATGAACTACATATCAAGTACATAGCTTCCGAACCGTATTCAATCTCAATTCAACTAAAACAAGTAATAGATCTCGTCAACTCGGATGCAGTCATCAATCCCCTCCTGGACAATGGCTACCTCCCACATGCGGTGATCCGCGTAGGAATCAGGCGCCAGCTAGCCGATCGCCTACAATCGATAGCTACCACGTCCTTGGAGTCCGCTTACGAGACCAAGATGAAGTACGTCAAGCTTCTTCGGGAAAGGCCAATTGCAATTGCGACTGCGACGGCAAACGAGCAGCACTATGAGGTAGGGACGAGTGTTCTTAAGGGCATGCTGGGCCCGCGGATGAAGTATTCGGCCTGCTTGTATGAGAAGGGCGGGGAGACGCTGGCCCAAGCCGAGATTGCCATGATGCGATTGTATATCGAGAGGGCAGAATTGAAGGATGGAATGAGCATTTTGGACCTTGGGTGAGTTCTTATTTCCTCTCTGATTTTGCATTTGCTGCACCTATAGTATAATGATCACGTGTATCGAGGCCAAATAAGCAATATGTTGAACGGAAGATGGTTAACAAGGGCTATAGATGTGGCTGGGGCTCAGCATCTCTCTTCATGGCGGAAATGTTTCCCAACTCCAAAATCACCGGCTTCTCAAACTCAAGAACACAAAAAGAGTACATTGACAGCGTTGCCGTATCAAAAGGACTCAAGAACCTTACCATTATCACGGGCGATGTTGTCGACTATGAGTTCCAGCCTGAAGCGTACGACCGCGTTATCTCCATTGAGCTCTTCGAGCACATGAAGAACTACCAGCTTCTGCTGCGCAAAGTAGGATCTGCGCTGAAACCCGGTGGCAAGCTATTTGTTCACATCTTTGCGCACTGCACGACTCCGTATGATTTCGAAGAAGGATGGATGACGGAGCATTTCTTTACAGGCGGTACCATGCCTTCGGCTGATTTACTGCTGTACTTCCAAGACGACTTGAGAGTCAAGAACCAGTGGTGGGTTTCCGGTATGCACTACTCAAAGACGTGTGAGGATTGGCTGGTTACCATGTTGAAGAACAAGGAGAGTATCTGGAAGGGACTAGTGGAGACGTACGGAGAGGAGGGCGCGTTGACTTGGTGGAATAGGTGGCAGGTTTTCCACATGGCTTGCTCCGAGTTGTTCAGGTGGAATGGGGGTGATACATGGGGTGTCAGCCNCTATCTCTTTGAGAAGCCTACTGCATAGACTGCAAAGGCTGGTGGGAGTTGTTGAAGGCGAGTGCAGACTCGATAATGTCTAAGAACCAACCCGTAAATATCACACTGAATTTCATGAAATCGTAACATAGCGAATCAACAAGACTGCATCTGACGCGATTGCTCTATTTTGCATTGATCCGAACTTCTTGGCGCTGTCCACATGGGACGTTGCAGCCACTGGCCGTGGTGTCTATGTCGAGCACTCCATTGTCTGTGCAATTGAGCTTGCCTCGTGTGAATATCTTCTAAGCCCTCTCTCCACGCCCAACGCCCCTGCATTCGTTATTCAATGGTCCCACGGGTGCTTCCAGCCCAAAAGCGCGGGGCCGTCCTTCTTCGCGCGGTACATCAACTGCGCCTGTCAGCACCTGTCTCGCTCCTACCAGATCTCTAACATACGAAGAACCACATTGACGCGCCGAGACCCGTTGCCATGAATCGGTATAGCGGCCTGACCGGGTGGATGTGGATGGGGTGGTTTGGGTGCGGCGGATATTTGGGCGGGCCCATGCGGGAGCGTGTGGGTTGCATCGTCTCTGGTGAGCCTATGTAAATATCAGTACTGGTGCCAGCTTTGGGGAGTGCTACACTGCGCCTACCTGCGGTGTCTGGGGTGCAATGGCTCTGTGACGCTTTTGGTGGGTGAGGTGTGATTAAGGTCGATCGCGGACTACGCTAACACTGCGGTGCCAAGATCGCCCCATCAACCGTCAATCGCGGCTTCTGCTCCTTCACCCGCGACAATCCTGACCACAATCGTCATCTCTACCCAGCAGCTTTAACCTCGAGCCCCCCGCCCATGCCAGCGCCCACCATCGCGACCACACACTCAGCGCTGCAAAGATACCGACCGATACATCGCGCTCACCCTCGCTGCATACGTTAACGCCGCGGCCCACTTAGCCCGAGTTAGGAAGCGTGCCTGCGGACCCTTGAGGATCACGTATTGTTAACACCACCGCCGGTATGGCGACTCCGGCGGGTGCCCCCCCGTCGCGCACCCTCCAGCGCCAATTCAAGGGATGTTGCAAGATTGGCGAGTACGAGATGATGCAGAAACTGGGCGAAGGTACTTTTGGTGAAGTTCACAAGGCGCGTCAGCGATCGACCGGCCATGTCTTTGCGCTCAAGAAGATTTTGATGCACAACGAGAAGGACGGATTCCCTATCACAGCGCTGCGAGAAATCAAGCTCCTCAAGATGCTGTCGCACGATAACGTCCTGAAGCTAGAGGAAATGGCTGTAGAACGGCCCAAAACCGAAGGCAGGAAACGTGCAATACTGTACATGGTCACGCCGTACATGGACCACGATCTGTCAGGTCTCCTCGACAACCCCGAAGTCCAGTTCAAACCGCCGCAGATCAAGTGTTACATGCTGCAGTTGTTCAAGGGTCTAGCATACCTACATGACAACCATATTTTACATCGAGACATGAAGGCAGCCAACCTTTTGATCAACAACTCTGGGCGACTACAGATAGCCGATTTCGGTCTTGCCAGACACTACGACGAACCGGTTCCACAAAGAGGCAGGGGCAATGGCGAGGCGAAACGCGAATACACTTCACTAGTTGTCACTAGGTGGTACCGACCGCCAGAACTGCTCTTGCAACTCCGAAAATACACACCGGCGATCGATATGTGGGGCGCAGGCTGCGTCTTTGGTGAAATGTTCAAGCGCAAGCCCATCCTTACAGGCCAAAGCGACATACATCAGGCACAGATCATCTTCGAGCTGGTTGGGTCTCCGAACGATACGAGCATGCCGGGCTGGAACGAGCTACCAGGAGCGGAACCTGTTCGCGCGTTCCCAACAAGTACAGGAAACATTGCGCAAAGATTCCGTGAACTATCGCCCCTTGGACTCTCGCTTATCAAGGACCTTATGAGACTGGACTGGCGGAAACGTATCAACGCGATTGATGCCATCGACCATCCATACTTCCGAGAGGAACCATTACCAATGCGCGAAGAAGATATTCCTCACTTTGCAGACTCACACGAGCTGGATCGCCGGAACGCGCGTGGCCAAAGGCAAGCACTTCCCCCTGCACCACAAGGCGGTACTGTAGGTGGAGGACCCAACGGAGAGTGGACAGGCCAAGGCCCACCACCACAGCCATGGCAAAGCAACGACCGAAGGTACGGCGGACCTCAAGACCGAGGACCGCCAGGCGTTGACCGCGGTCTCAGGGGCGGTGGCGGTGGCGGCTACGACCGACGAGGCTACGAACACCGACCCCCTCCACCCCCTCCCCCAGGAGAACGACGCCCAAACTGGGGCGGCGGCGACCGCGGCCACAACAACCTCCCTGCTCCTCCAGCAGATGGCCGCCACCCGCTCCCTCCCGTTCCTCGCTACGGCCCCGATGGCGCAGACCGCCGTAGAGGCCCCGTTCCCCCCGGTGACACCTACATCCCCAGCTACGGTGGAGACGGACACCGTCGTTCCCGCGAACCAGACGACCGTCCGCGCCGCGGCTCCCGCGATTCTGGCAATTCTCGTGAGGGTTACACCGACGACCGTGCTGATCGTGGCCGCGCGTATCGCGATCGTGACCGCGACCACAGAGGCGGCAATAGAGGAAACTTTGTGCAGGAGAGGAGGGACGGTCGTACGCGGTCAAGGAGTCCTGAGCGCAGAGATGCGAATGGCAGTGGCAACGGAAGGGGAAGGGATGTCTCGGATATTTATAGGAGGAGATGATGATGCTAGTGATCAAAGGTTTGGTCTGGTCTTTTTTCTTTCTTCTTTTGAATTGTTTGTTCGTGGCGACACCTGACCCCGTTTGTGAAGGTTGGTGGTTGCCCGCTCAAATGGAAAAGCGGATTGCTGATGGTTGACACTCCAAATTTGACGGAAGGAATCGAGGAAGAAACGTAGATCAAACGCGCATTTCTAGTCTTCTCTTTCTTTGTATTTTTAGGTAGATACGGATACAGATGTCTTACTTCTGCGTCTGTAAAGTGCAAAGATGCCAGCAAAGGGGGCGGATAACACAGATTGGGGTCTCTTCTTTTTTTTCTATTTTTTTCTAGTCTTTGCTGCTTTGCTGTGAAAAAAGCGGCTGTGCGACACCTATACACACACATATTTCGGTGCTACGCGCGTTATAGGTAACCAAGATGGGGCAAAAACTTTTTTGTGTCGATCTTTGCATTTTCTGGCGTTTTTTTGCTTCCCTCTCTCATCGACTTTTCTTGCACGCAATAGCAAGCACTTTTATGGGGGGGAGAGGGGGTTTCCGTATTCGTTTTTTTCTTGCTTGAAGAGCGGGAAGTATGATCCACGCTAGCAACATTGTGGTTCTGGCTCGCTTCGTATACAGAGGAATCTTGTTTATCTTGAGTGATTTTTGGGGTTTGATCGTTTGGGATTGATGCGTTGCGGGTGGAGGGGTCGTACGTGGTTGATATTATAGATCAGAATAAGACGCGTGTAGGATAATATTGAATTTGCTTAATGTGTATTGTTGCTTTGATGGTTTTGGATACTTGGTTTGCTATGGTCTCGAGTTGAGAGGTGTATCTGCGTTCGATGAGCGTAGCAGATATAGGATTTGGCGACTTCGGATCAGGGTCTTCTTGCTTGCATCCCCCAAAAGGAAGTGCTGGATCCGGCTTTTGTCTGGATTTGCCCGGCAGTGCCTTGGATTCTCGGTCATAGGATCGTTGGCATGGCACCAGATCGCAGATAGCGCGGGGCTGCTTCATGCCGAGATTGTCTTGACGTGCTGCCGGAGTGTAGAACCGCACTTGCGAGTCCACATATGGCTCAAATCCTCTCATGTCATAAGTTTCTTCAACACCCTTCCCAGGTTCTCACTCTGGATCCCAATCCGGACGGCACGTGCACCCCTCACTCCGGACATGCATGACGCCCGTCCGACTAGCCTCAACCAACCACTCCGCCCACTCAATCTCATGCTCAACAATCGTGACATGCTCGCCCGTCTCAACCCTCTCTTCCTTCACCTTGAGCAGGAAATCGCGTAGCTTGAGTGCACACTTGGCCATGGAATTGGCTCCACCGGGCGAGTTACGGCGTTGCTGCTCAGCGTACATCATGCGCTCCATGCGAGTTAGCAGTTGCGCTTGGATGTCACTGGATTCCTCGAATCGGGCTACAAGCGCTTTGGCATGGACTTTGAGGCACAGTGTGTCTTCTCGAGTGGCACGTGTACACGGTAGAACGCGCTGGGGACGCGCGAGATGGAAGGATCCGACGTCACGCAAAACTACGAGATCGTTGAACGACTGGTCTTCGATTGTCGATGTTGAATCACTGGAAGTCGGCCGTGGGGTTTGCTCTGTTCCGTTCCAGTTGATACAGGGGCTGGGTTGCGCAGAGTAGCCAGTGTCTTGGTCCGATGGATGCTGTTCATCAGAATCCCAGTCGCATTCGGTGTCTGGGTAGTCATCTGAGTCGCACATGAAGGTTTCAGAGTAGCTGAAGCCGTAGCCTTCTCGCTTCTTCTTTGGTTTTGCTAGCTGGGGTGCTTGCGAGGTGGACTCTGAATGCCGGCGCGGTTCCTGAGATGGTGATGCCCTGGTTTGAGGTGGATGTGCAGAGACGGACCGGTTTGCGCTGCCAGTCATAGTAAGTCCGGAGAAGCTTTGGGTGAATGCTTCTTCACGACCTCTGCGGGCTGAAGGCTCATCAGGTGGTACTGAGAATGAAAATCTGAGTTCAACGCTTTGCGGCTTTGCTTGCTGGTTCTCTGGCTTTTGTGCCCGTTTCTGTGTTGATCGCACCACCGCCTGCGACTTTACGGCGGGCGCTGGGTGTTCCATCCATGTTGTCAGAGTGGCATCCACATTTTTCTATGCAAAAAAGTTAACACAACGGCCCATAATCAAAAGCGAGCAATGCGACTCACCGGCCCTCGCCACCTAGTTGGTCGTTTAGGCTTGCCACTCATAAATCGTCGCTCCTGTAGGGTGGCGGTGTCTTTGGATACAGGGAGCGGGATGGGATCAAAACTCCGGCGCGTACTCAGCCGCTTTCTTGTAGGGCCCCTTCCCTTCTACTCTTCTTCAGCTACAAACTCTATCTGGTTCTTAGGAAGACCTACGTTGACGGGCATGTTGAGAGGCTGAGGGGTAATCTCGAAAATGATAGCTGACCCAATATCGGTCACAGCAGCGAAAAAGGGCAACTCAATTCCAGTATCAGTGGGTGATTTTAAAGGTTGCTGTTTGTTGATGGGGTGGGGTGTTTGGAGTATATCTAGGCGACTTCAGTAGGCTGCGCGTTGGGGTCGCGTGAAGGCTGACTAGCGCGGTTAGCGCCGAACGAGGCTACCATCCTATCACCGGGGTGAATCTCCGTGTTTTGATACACAAATGCCCCACCAAGTTAGGGTCCGTTCACAACTGGGATACTCGACTACGTGTGGATTCGTGTTGATCACGCTGCCATGGCGACAACAAAATGGTATCATTCTGAGCATTTCGTCACTTTGCTCTTGCTTTAGTTTAAGAAGAGCCCCTCATTGGGCATTCATGCATCACTTCTTGCCGTTCTCCAGAAGCTCCACCCCTGTTCTTACAACACCAATCGCTGCACCAGTCTGGATCGCTTCACTACCACCTCCGCTCAGTCTATACTCAATATCTGCCAGACCTGACATCCATGTCACCATAACTTGTGGTGGCACGTCATTCGCGACCAGCTCTTCGCTAATCGCCGTTAGAATATCTGCGAGCGCCAGTCCCTTCAATGTCTTGAGATTATTTATGGTTCGTAGACACTCTGTCATGTCATTCTTAGACAGCAGTGTTTCGATGATGTACTTGATGTCTGAAGGATGTGGTGCTGCTATACAGTCGTAGATGGTGGTCTGAGTGATTTGGTCACGCACGATTGAACTCGGGTCGACCGCGGGCTTGCCTGGGGGCTGGAGTGGCGTGCTGGAAGCATGGCAGGCTTGCAGCACGTTGAGCGCTCGTCTCATATCTCCCTTGCTCAGAGTGACGAGCGAATCGGTGGCGTCTTGTGTAATGTTGACCTTTTCCTCCTCAATCACCTTGTCGACTAGGTGCCTAATGTCCTGGTCCTTGAGCGGTGAAAATCGAAATCTCGTACAACGCGAGAGCAGGGCGGGCGAGAGTTTGTGTGTGTAGTTTGCAATGATGCAGAAACGTGTGTTTGCCGTGTACTTCTCCATGATTCGTCTCAGTGCCATCTGGGCGGTGGAAGTCATGGCGTCGGCTTCATCGAGAACAATGAGTTTGAAAGTTGCCAGCGAAGAATCTCCTGCTTTGGGTGCGGCAGAGAAGATTTGCTTGGTACTGCTAAATGTTTTGATCTGCTCTCTGACCACTTCGATACCTCTGTCATCTGATGCGTTTAGTTCGAGAACCATTTGCCGCATGTTCTTGTTCCCGTATATACGTCGTGCGAGTGCTAGGACGGTCGAAGTCTTTCCGGTTCCTGGTGGACCATAGAGAAGAAGATGTGGTAATCGCTGCTGGGGTCAGCGAGGAGCCTTTAAGCAGGGCAACGTCCTTACGTTCGAGTCGACAAATTTGTTGATTGTGGCTATGATGTCCTTGTGGCCTTCTACGTCGTCGAGAGACGCTGGTCTGTACTTTTCTACCCTATGCAAGCTTTAGAAAAGGTGCAATAGCGTCACATACAGACACATACCATGGCAATGTGTCTTCAGCTTCTACAGGCAGATTGGCAGCGCTCCGCTTGCCCTTTTTCGAGTCTCCGCCAAAGCTGATGGACTTGTCGACGGGCGCATCAACGTCCATTTCATCTTCAATGTCCGACATGGTGAGAGACTTGATTTGTGTCAATTCGGTGCACTTTGTATGATTTTGAGGTCAGGTTGAAGCAGTGAGTGCAGGGATGCTGCAATGTGTAGGATGCTGGGCTGGTGCTAACAAAGTCGGGGCAGACGCGCCGCGTGAAGAGACGCGTTAATTGGCGGCGGCTTAGTCACCCCGCCCCACGGCTCAGCCCTACGAGCACACCTCATACAGTCGGCCAGCGGAGCTACGCCGTCACCTCCGCCGAGCTCAAAGCACACGACCCAGAACAACAATCTGCGGGCACCCACATTCCAAAATGCCTGTGAGTCTTGGATTATTGCAGACAGACGAATACTGTCGAAGAAAACATCCCCAAACATCTTGACAGCTGACCCCCCGCTAGGCCTACCACTCAGTCTTCCTCGATGAGCCCAATCAGCAATTGATTGGTAGGACTCTCCCATTCGACTTATATGAGTGCACCTTGATTGACTGCTACAACAGGCAACTTTGCCCTCCTTCCTCTTCGCACACGCACTCGTGGGCCCGCTGTCCAATTGCCTGCTCTGCCCGCAGACGTCACCGAGCTCACCATTGAAGCCTCACACGAATCATACGACCCCCTAGACGAAGTCCTCGCTCTATTCCGCGCCAACACATTCTTCCGCAACTTCGAGATCAAGGGACCAGCCGACCGTGTGCTCATCTATGGCATCCTCTATGTGAGCGAAGTGCTGGGCAAGATCAAGCCCAGCATGAGCCGGAGAGAAGCTGAGAAGGTACGTGGCAGCTACGACAGGAATTTAGAGCCGAGGCTGACAGAATCAAACAGGCCGTCATGAACTCCGCTCTTGATACAAACTTTGCAATTCCTGGTGATGCTGGATTCCCACTGAACCAGGCTTTCGAAGCGCCTCCAGACAGGAACTCTGCCGAAGTGCTGCGACAGTACATCATGCAGATGCGCCAGGAGTTGGCAACACGGTTACTCAATAGGGTATACGCAGACGATACCAACACTCCTAGCAAGTGGTGGCTGAGCTACACAAAGAGAAAGTTCATGGGCAAGGCTTTATAGTTTCTGCAGTATAGTTCCAAGGGGATTTACCGTCAAGCTTTGACAGTGATAGAATCATATTTTGGCTCCTCAAGTGATCAATTACCCATATGACTCGTTCGAAAATCTTGCGTGCAAATACTCCTGCTGTTTCAAAAAGTATCATCCTTTCATGCCTGCGTTTGTCTCACCCGGATGCTAACTTGTGCGCTTGCGTTTGCATGTTTGGTCAGCCAGGTGCAAACAATTGCTAGCTGATCTTAACATTCACTTCGCTCTTTGTCTATATCTTCACGCTGCACCACTCACACTCCCCACCACAAACCCTTGACATTTTCAGCACAGCAGTATTACTGCATTGAATACCGTCGTTAACCATGGCTTGGATAGGATTCGATTCCAACCCTCGAGGCGCTACACAGTTACTGACAAAAAATGAGGGTATTTCAGTTCCGCCTAAAATTGTAAAGCATCTCAAACAACTAACGCATCGTAGAAGACTCTCCAGAATGGTGCGAATCGCCCTTTGAAAATATGAGCGGTAATTATGTATCTAACCAGGATGATAGGCAAGACGAGAACGGTACGGTGTGCCCTGAGGACGAGCTTGCTTTGCTGCCATACAGTACGTTCACAATGAATCTCTTGCGACTCGGCCGCATCAACTTTTCACAAGCACTAACATAAAATTGATTAAAGTGCCTCCACTTTTTGGCTGCGAACTTCCCCCCTGTGGCCTAATGCCTCAACTCGCATACCAAAACGTTGTTCAGCGCCTCCGCAAGTTGTGGCTTCTACACGCAAAAGAAAACCCTGCCGAGATCTCCCTCAAATACATCTGCGAGCAAATATTCGACAACCTTCTAGATGAATCTGAGAAGTTGCCATTCGGAAAAGCGAACAAGACCACGAGACGCACGCCCTGGCGACGCGAACAAGTCTTCAAGTTCGAGCCTTGTTGGGCGCACTACTTTGTTCTTGAGGCAAGGCGTATGAATGGAAGCAGCAGCATGACATCGATGAAGCGGGAGACGCAGGGTGCGCATCTAGAAACGGAATGTTTCATACCAACGATATTGGGTATTCATGTTAAGAACCCTGCGAACAAAGAGCATGTATGCCAATTGTGGAGGGAATGGCACAGAGAGAAGAGGCGCCCTGTACCGACACTGAATCCACAAGGAAGCGCTGCGGCAGTGGAAGACGTAGCGGGTAGTATGCAGGATGACTCAAAGGAAAGTGGAGAGACAGAAAATGACTCTGTTATGTAGGTATAGGGCATGCTGTCTCTGACCTAGGTAGAGTGAGAGGTCCCGCACAGCCATGTCTTGAACCACTGAAGTAGCTGAGGTGTGATTCTTTTCTGACAGGATGTACTTGTATCAGTTGCAGAGTTAAGGCAGTATTGAGTGTGATATGAATCAATGTTGACATAACTCGCTATCCATGTGTTGTTTCCCCGTGTACATCCCAGAACTTTGGAGAAGCCATGATGCGAATTACTAAACAGTGCATACAAATCTCTCAACAGCAGCATTATCGCCTCAGGCTGTGAAGTGGTCACACCCTTCTACCTCTCAAATCTGACCCGCATATGTTGCCGCAATGCCTTATCTTAGATCATTGTATCCAAAGGTGACAAAATGAAGGGTGAGGGTGGAGCCCTAGCCTCCTCGCCGTGTTGCAGACTCACCTTCACCGTGAGGCTTCTGCCTTGCTCTGTTCTCCCTGTGACGCTACCAGTCCAGAAACATAAAGTTGACCCTCCTCACACGACCATCCATCCCTCTTTCTCTCTACTCAACCTTCAGCTGATACTCAAATCACCTTTTCTCAGCTTACATTACCTGCATCACAGTGTGCACCAACTACCTCAAACAATATCACAACAATCAGTGAGTGGCCTTCTTGTTACATGCCCCGTTGCCGTTACTGATCCGACAACAGATCTTCATCCCCAGCCGTCAAGATGCCCAAGTGGACTCCCGAGTTAGACGCGATTGTAAGTGAACCAGGCACCACCTCAGCTCCCTATGCATATTTCCGCAGTCACTGACGCGCCTTTCAGATCCTCCATGGTGTCTTTGAGGAGTGCAACATCAGCTTCTCCAAGTCACTTTGCGCCAAGATCGCTCAGCGAGTCAATGATGCTGGAGTCGGTATGTTTGTTTTCCTTTCCAATACACGTTCATCTCATTCCTTTCTCCACACCTCTTCTCTACCCACAATTCTGATGTTCCCGTTTAAGAATGCACTCCCAAAGCCATTGAGAATCGCCTGTACTCTTGGAAGAAGAAGAACGTATCGGGCGCCACGGGCTTGAACTCTGCTACGAGCACTCCCGTTCAGACACCCGCCACTCCCAAGACGCCGCGATCCCGGGTCAAGCCCAAGGCAGAAGATCCCGTGACGCCTTCACCCTCTGTCAGAAAGCGCAAGGCTAGTAAGCTCAAGACTGAGCCAGCTGAGTCCCAGTCTGAGGAGAATAGTGAGCTTGATGATATGCTCGCTGTCAAAAAGATGAAGACTGAGCCTGTCGAGGAGGGTCTCAGTATCGATGTGTCGGTGGAGGAACAAGTCTAAGTAAGTGTTCTTGTTCACTAAGCGCTTCATTATGTGATTTCGGATGCACGGCTCAATCGTGGGACAATGGGTTTTCAGGATGAATGTTTACTGCTCTGTATGCTGAGGGTCCTAATTTCCATCATGGGGGATCAGCCTAATCTTTCGTTGCAAACAGCACGTGCAGCGATTGAGGCAGATGCACAAATGAATTAATACAAGGTATCATGGGTCTTTGATACATATCTTCTACTTCTCTTTCTACTTTACTTCCGAATGTGCATGTTTTCCTTTTTGTCCGCATACCGTGACAACATTAACTTCTCTCGCGCTTATCCCATTCATTGTGACTCAGTACTCTTGTTCTGCTCGCTATCCTCTTAACGGTTTCTTCATTTAAGAGCTGATCCCAGCAACTTGTACAGAATCATGGTGGTGCGGAGAACAGGTCACAAATATTTATTACATGTAGATAACTAACATGTAGTTCCAATTCAAAACCCTGGTTAGAGGGTAGGGGGAAATCGAGCGGAAGATGTAGGCTGCAATTTTCCGAATACCCACCTCGGTCTGGTATGAGAGCTCATGCATATCACGTCATGTCTTCTGCAAGAATATAAAAATCCGCTTAGGTACCTCAAATGCTCGTATATGTCTACTGCGGTGGCTGAATAAATCACTCAAGGCTGTGCTGGTGTTCTCACATCTGCAGATGTGGCTGAGCAGCCACTACGAATGTGCCTACTTGCTCGCTAAACTCTCTACACTCCCTTTAAGGCTGCCTGCAGGACTGACACACTACCATTTTGTCAGCGACTTGGCCCCTCTTCTCGCGTTATCGAGCGCGAACAATTCCAATTGGCTCCTAACCGCCCACATCTACCGCAGCTAACGGCGGGGGCTGTGCATCCATCAGATGAACCGGTGTAACTCTAGTCATCACAATAGATTTATCAGGCAGCCATGCTGCTCAGGCACCTCGCTCATGAACACTTTTCAGCTCAGCCAAAACCAACGCCTTGCCTGCCCATATCCCTTTTTCTGGTATCATCCATCGACACATACGCAAGCACGAGACCACAATGACGAAGTCAAATAAGCACGGAAAGAAGGAGCCGAATCTGTGGCGGGAAGCTTACAAGGCGCTCTATGCTGATGGCGCGGAGAAAGAGCATATGCAAAAGGTCCAAGCAAAATTGAGGAAACGACTCAACCAACCGGATCTGGATCTCAAAACTGATGAAGGATACAAAGTGATGCTTTCTTTTATCAACAAGCAAGGAAGCAAGCTGGAAGCAAAAAAGCGTCCGGAGAGATTCAACAGAGTGTCGCAAAATATGGGAATGATCAAAGAACTATTCGGGGCGGGCGCAGCAGTTGGTGGTCCCTATGTGGCTATCCCCGTTGCCGCCCTGTTCATGGTTTTCTCCGTATGATAGATTACGCATGTTTCTGACTTTACGTACAATCAGTCTAACATCCCGACCAGATGGAAGAAATATACACCTCTGAGAAAGACGCCATGATAGATTTGGCCGAAGTTGCGTCCGATTACTATGTTTATACTGCCAAAAGCCACGAGCGTGTCAGTATACGGCCCGAGGATGATGACGACATGCAAAGATTAAAGCAGAAGCTGCGCGTCGTCTATATCGGTCTGTTCAAAGGAATCATGTTTGCATCGGCGCAGCTGGCAAACTTCCTCTGTGACGACTCTGCGCCCAAGAAATGGTTCAAGAACGCAATGAAGATGTACAACTGGAGCGAGCAACTCGAAGACCTCAACAAGCGCTACGAGACGAGCCAGAAATGCTGTGACGAGATGGTCTGGCGTCTGACACTTGGCCCGGCGCCAAAGGCAGAAACCAAGGTGTCAATGGGGCCTGGTCCGCGCAATGCTTTACACTGGGCAGTCGCAGACAAGCTCTACACCAGAATCGACGAACTTGTGTCGAAACAGGAATGTCCCATCAATGCCCTTACACCAAAGCGCTGGACCGCAGCACATCTGGCGGCGGAACACGGCGATACCAAGATCCTGCGGACCTTGCGTTCCGTGCCCGGTATCGATATCCACATCAGGAACGTCGATGGCCGCACCGCTCTTCACATCGCCGCGCTCAACAATTGCGTCGGCGCCGTAAAACTGCTGCTGGAATGGGACCACAAGCTGCTCAACGCGCGCGACAACAAAAACCGCACCGCATACCTGCTCGCCGCCGCAAAAGGCCACGTCAAAGTGCTCGAGGTGCTCAAGAACAAGGGCCAAGATATGAACCAGTCGACGCTCAAAAACGGGTGGACTGCGCTTCATCTCGCCGCCGAACTGGGCCGCGTCGACGCTGTCAAGTTCTTGCTCGAAAGCGGTGTCCGCAAGGATACCCGCACGACGGCCGGCGCATCAAAAGGTTGCACTGCGAAGCAAATCGCCGAATTCAAAGCTAAAGCAGATGTCGTTGCGCTGCTTTGATATAGAAAGATACCGAGGTTCGGCCATATGTAGTCGAAAGCAGTACATACACAATTAATGCCTGCTGCCCGTTTCACAGGTACCTAGTCAAAGAGAACGAGTCTTGGTAAACTACCAGGACCTCCTCCTCCTCCAATTCGGACGGCCTTTTTCTTGCGGAAAGAATAAGCACTATAGCACCTTAGCTCCCGCGACTCCCGATTCCCATACCGTTGGACGACACACATCAAAAGCAAAAAAAAGACCGATGAAGGAAGTTTACATACCCACGAACAGACTTTTATTTTGGCGTGTCCGGCGGCAGGCATGGGGGTGTGTGTGGGCCCCAAATTCTAGATTGCCACGGCGTTAGAGAGTCGCGGAGAAAGACGCGCTAATTTGCTTGGCTTGTATGCAGCGAGTTTGTGCACCCTTCCCCCCCCCCCGGCTTTTGCTCACAAATACGTGGGTGCTGATTGGGCGGTGTGTGGGTTGAATAGACTACTGTACTTCAAACAGTCCTTGGGTGTAAATTGCTCTCGCACTGGGCCTTTTTCACGTGCGTAGGATGTTGAGAGAGGCAAGTGACGACATTGATTTCCTCAACCACACTACCTTGTGATAATACAAAAGGTGTTAAAAAATGTCAAAAAGTTGTAGTATATAGCATTTTTTTCCCAGCCTTTATGACGTGCATTTCCGACCGCACACTCCATGCGTTTCATGCGATATTTATAGGTCCTTTTCCTTCTTTGCTTTGATGCTACATCGTACTTTCATTTAAAATAGTTGCATATAGTAAGCCTTGGTGTGTGTGCGTGTATACAGGCGCCTGGCATGGGGGGTTGGCGGGATATGGGGAGATTTCCGGCCTTGATGTTTCGATGCGTGGTTGCAGCGGGGAAGGCGAATTGTAGGTTTGTTGAAAAAGAGGGTTAATCCTGGTCGCCTCCGGCCCGGCCGAGGGAGGGGAGGGGAGGGGGGCCTGCACAACATCGACTGCTGTGTTTAGAGTGTGATGAAAGGATGCGAATGCTGGGCTGGTGCCGCATTTTTTTCTTCTCTTTCTCTCTCTCTCTCTCTTTGCGATAAGGGAGGGGGGGGTTAAGACGTCGTATTCTAGTAAAGCCGCGGTAAGTTTTTCGATAGTAGCAATGAACTGTGCATCTATCTATCTAAGAATAAACTTTCTTGTGTACCTGACTTGGCAGCCTCATGACATGGTTGTACTCTGGAGTTGATGCCATGATAGGCATACTGTTGTAGGGAAGTGGTTAAAGGGTGTGGCGCACCGTCGTAGTTTAGCGGGAGTGCAATCTCCGATCCCTGAGTTTAGTCTCCACTACTACCAAAGCAGACGTGGTTGCAAATCAAGCATATCTCGTGTATGTAGTCGCCCGACGGAAACCTACTGAGCCACCGTTGCTGATGATGGCCATGTATTGAATGATGATGTTATCTTGTGTTGGTGGATGTTCCATCTGCCTAGCTGAGCCCCCCCCAGACGGTCAGCAGACTAGTAGGTGTTCGCAGCAGCAGCACCCACGAGTGGCAATGATACAGTCATGCGTGAGACTGATGCTGGAAGGGAAAAAGGTCAGCATAGCATAGCAAAGTCGTAGTAGCCCGGGCCTAGTCCCAGAGCCACGCATTCGAGTCAGGCACCTACTTTGACGTTATGTCGCGCGGGCCGAGCGACTATGGCTCCGCCATCCTAGACCTGGCCCACACCTGCAAGACAGGGGGGAGGGAGGACCGCAAACCTACCTGGGGTTCTCTCTCTCTCTCCCCCAGCGAATCCGAACCACTTTTGTTTTGATCAAGCGTTACACGATTCGAGGGAGATCCAGGGAACAAAGGCGTGACATCTTTCAAGAGACCGGGTGACAAAAAGGGCAGCAAGAGGCACGTGTAATGGGGAAATGGTCCAGGGGTGGGCACGCACTGGGGAAGGATGCTGGCATAGTAAGGTAACAATAAGTGAATACGTCCGAGATGCCGCTAAGCCTTTGCGACTTACTAAATTTTCCTCTTCCCCTTCTTGGCTTAGAAACAAGACCTTGTACGCATGGAGAGCAATCTGCGGTGGCGCTGGTCGTTTGACCGAGGCGCGCAGAAAAAAAAGTGGTATAAGAGACTCGTGGATATCTTGGTAGATTGAACTTCATCCTCACGCCTACTCGACTTCGCCTCTTGCTACAGATACTCTTCTACAGCCTTTAACTTCAAAGTCTCGAAACCCCGACAATATGCGCTTTACATCTGTACCATTCGTTGCCCTCGCGGCTGTCGGCGTAGTCAACGCCCAGGGTTCTATGGATACATGGAATCCAGCTGCAACCGGCGACTGTAAGTTTAACTTTGTCTTCCCAGAAAAAAAAATAGTTACTAACATTCCTCTCAAAAGCCCGTGGACCCTGCCCCATGCTCAACACCCTGGCCAACCACGAATACCTCCCCCACAACGGCCGCAACTTCACCCTCGACATCCTCAAGCACGCCTTCAAAACCGCCCTGAACCTCAGCGACGACGTCACCGTCCTCCTGCACACCGCCGCCCTCACCACCAACGCCGGCGGCTCAACTTGGGGCTTGGATACGCTCAGCAAGCATAATATCCTCGAGCACGACGGCAGTCTTTCGTAAGTTCTCTTTCACCATATCCCACATATCCCTATAATAAGATAGGATGTATGTACTAACCGTCCCCAAAAAGTCGCCAAGACAACGCCATCAACGGCGACTCAACCTCCTTCAACGCCACCATCTACGCCCGCACCCGCTCCTTCTTCACTGCCCCAACAATCTCCCTCCAAATGGCTGCAAACGCCCGTCTAGCCCGCATGCTCGATTCCCTCAAGATCAACCCGCAATTCTCAATCTCAGCCCCTGCTGTCGGGTTCAGCCATCTCGAGACGGCAATTTACATGATTGTGTTTGGGGATCGCAAGGACAAGACGGCGGTTAGGGAGCAGGTGGATTTTTTCTTTGGTGAGTTTGCACTGTTTTTTTTTTCTTTCCCCCCCCCCCCCTTTTTGGTTGGAAAAAGGGGAGCGTGGGGGATTTTTTGCGAAGAAACGAAAGAAAGCTAATGACACGAACAGAAAACGAACGTCTCCCCACTGAACTCGGCTGGAAAACTCCCGACACAGTCATTTCCGGTGCAGATGTCAAGGAGTACCAGAATCTCGTTGTTGCGAATACCAAGTATCAGCCTGATATCATGGGTCCTTAAACATCTCCTCCCCAGCTTAGCCATGAACTCGTAGGATGACTTTGGGCTTCTTTTTATTTTTCATTGTTTATATATATATATAACTATACCTTTTTCTTTGGCATTTAGCATATGTTCTGTTACGACTTCTTTTTTTTTGAGGGGGGAAATGGGGATGGGGGAATGTTGATAGATGAATCGGGACATATGAATAGTTGAATTCATCAGAAAACCAATTCTGTTTGACAAAAAAAGAAAAAGAAGAAAAAACCACTGCAATGCATTCAATCCCCCATCTATTCTATACTCTAAAAAAAAGTCTCAAAAAAAAACTACCTCTCGTCCCTCTCAGCCTCAGCTCTAATATCCTCCCTACTGCCACGTCCCCCAAGTCCTCTCCAAAGCTCACTCAGCGTCCCACTAAGACTCCTGCCCCTGCCTATTCTCGCACTGGCAGGTGCAGCATCCGACGGTCCAGCCTGACTATCGCGCGTCTGCCGGCGACTCAGCGGTTCACTAGTGGTGGTACCACCGCCCATCATGGCGCCGTCATCGACGTTGTCGCGCGACGAAGAACCCAGACCGAGGACGCTGCCGCGGCGGCGAATGGAATCGTCCGGGTCGCGGTAGCGGATGCTGGCTCCGCGCTTGAGATCTTGGACCATTGTGCTGAGGCTGGTGCTGAGGGGGCTGGCGAGGAGGGGACCGGCGATGCTGTTGCGGGTTCCTTGGGGGCGGTCGACGGTGCGCAGACGACGGAGTTGGGAGCTGGGGGTCGTGGGGATGTCGGTTTGGGATTTTCCTCGCGTGGGGGTCCAGGGGAGTCCGAGTTCGGGGTCGCTGGTCAAGGCCAAGGGTGCGGGTGCGGCTTCGGATGGTAGGACGGGGGTGGAGGTGTGGCGGTTTAGTGGTGGTGTGCGATCTTCGGGTTCGTTGGGTTGGGTCCATGGGTTTGCGACTAGAGAAGACATGATGTCTCCAGAGACTGAGCGAACAACGGGATTTGGTGGGGTTACTGGCTCGGGTATAACCACTATGGTTGGTGTTGATGGGCGCGAGTCGTCATCGCGGTAGCGAGAAGGGATGTTGATAGGTGGTGAAAGTGGACGTGATGTCGATCGCGTACTTGCAGCAACATCGTCGCCAGCGTCATCCACATCATCAGTATAGCGTTCACCTGCGAGATACATCGCATCATGATCTGGCTCGTCGTCTTCCTCGCTGTGTTGCGGAGGTCGTCCGCTCGTGATTAACCAAACGCCAAAGAACGTCAAGGCGCATCCACCGATAAACTTTCCTGCATCCTGCGCCGAAGTCCTTTCAAAGTCGCGGTAGAGCACTGCAGACCCGCCAATGACGGACAAGGTGAAGAGAACAAACTGGACGGGAATGACCTGGGTAGCATCGAAGCGCTGTAGTGCACGGTTGACATACTTGATCTGCATAACTGCAGTGCCAACGAGAATAGCAACCAGGAGATAGAAGACTGGAAAAGTAATGGCCCGCCATAGTGTATACGAAAGCAACGACGCAACACCTTTGGTAGAGAGCGCCGTATATCCACCTTGATAAAGTCAGCCATACCGCATTGCAGATCATACCCATTGAACAACCCCCCCAAAAAACTTACCAAACAGCCCTACAAGCCCCAGATCAATCAAAATATTCTTATCCCCATACTTGTTACTCGCACCCATGAGCATGATAATCACACCAACAGTGATACCAAGATACGTTTCAAACTCCCAGCGCCTGATCAAATCCCAAATCTCGCCAGGTCCCAACTTGGGATTATTATCGTTTGCCGAAAGCACAACCGTGACCGCGCCTCCAACCGCAATGATAACACCCAGCGCATCGCGCTTGCGAAACGGCTCCTTGAGCATAAACGGCGCAATAATGCAGTTTGAAATGAGCGCCACGACACCGAGCGGCGAGACAATGGACGCAGGCGCAAAGCCGTAGGCGAGAAAATTCCCCGCTTCGCCCACCGTCATGAGAATGATGCCGAACCACCAGTACGGCGACTTGAGATACGACGTCTGCTTGTAGACTTCGTCGTCCGGGCCCGATCCCGCACTGTCGCCCCTCTCCACATCCGGTCTCGTCTGGTGGGAGCACTCGTTCGCAACCAGGGGATCCGACTCGGTCGCCTCGAAGATATTCGCATCAGGCGCATGAAGCGTCTGACCCTCCATGCCATTTCCGTGCTGATGCTTGGCTCTGCTACCGCCGCTACTGCCAAACTTTGTCACTTCTTCATTGAGTCGGTTCAGACTCAGTCCAGATGCATTCCTCCTCTTGCGCTGCCGCTCTTTGGCCTGCCACTCGCGATCCAGCCGAATGTGCGCGTACCGCTGCATGTTGAGCGCAAATGATATCAGCACGTTTCCTACTATCGCCGTTACGATGCCGATGAGACTGCTCCAGTTCTCCGGGTATCTAATACCTCCTCCTCCTCCGCTGTCGCCGTCGCCCGTCTCTTTTGAAAACCATGATAGGCCATTAAGGAGTATTATGCTCGATGTGTGCGTGGATGCCGGCGTCGCTGAGCCAGCAGTGACGTAGCTGGGGGGTATATGCATCGCGTCGGGAGGTGCAGGCTGGGTCCTAAGCAGGGTAACGCGGAATGCGATGGGCCAGCCGAGGGAACAGCGCCGGCCGTGGTATCGCACGCCCGTGTGCTTAGGTTGCGGTTGGTGAGAGGAAGTCGTCGCGTTCAGATATTATATGGCAACTACAAAAGGCATGCGATACAAGGTGACATGCTTTCCGGCCCGAATGTTGGTGGTGGGCTGCATTTCTTTGGTGCCGCCGTATGCCGCGACGGCCTTTCCAGGTTCTCCAATATCTTTCACATGACGAGGCTGCGGTCCAAGCTTCAAATGCACCATCGGCATGCTACGCGCTAGCAGTCATTGTGCATCAACCGCCTATTGATAATGTTGTCTTTTGCACGAATCTGACAGCTTTGTCGTGCCTAGTGCTGACAAGGAACATGTTATGCCCATTGCGGCAGAGCCCTCTAGTTGGGATACTGATGGTTTGATCTCGTTCCATAGCACCTCAGCCAACTACTACATCATACTTGAACATGGATGCATGGATATATGCGAGACGAACTTCGTCAAATTTATTTGAATATATGGCTATAATACAAACTATACAGATAGACTATATTCCGCTTCTGCATGTTCCACATCACGCGACGTCACGTGAGGTGAGCATATATGCAGATTCCCCATACGCACACCAATACGCCGTTATAAATGTTAATGTCTACCCGCATGCTTTTGCTAGTCGGCAATATCGTACTCTACGGTCTTCAGCCAGCTAGGGAACGGACATCTTCACGTCGTCGTTTGTGGCATCCGCGACACCTTCACCATCCTGCTCCATGCTCTCAGGAACCGGGTCAGGCTCAGAGGCAAGAAGCTTGATCCTTGCCTCGACAGCATCTTCTCCGACGACAGATTCTTCAACTTGAGCCTTGCGGATGAAGACAGTGTGCCAGCGCTTGCCCCAGGCCTTGATGAGTTCAACCTCCTCTTCGGTCAACGCACCGCTAGAAGACTTCTCAAGCATTGTGTCGGCAGAACCCTCGGCGACACCGCGGGTAGAGTCCTCAATGTACTTGAACAGTTCCCGGGCATTGTCTCTGTCCTTGGCCAGTGTAGCTTCAACCATCTCAATCTGCTCCTGAGGAAGACCCTTTTGAAGACGTGCGGATGCGATCTGACGGTTGCGGTTGGTGACCTTGGCGACTGTGTTGGACACCATCTCGAAGACCCAGCTCTCAGTCAAAGCCTCTCCAGCGCCCATGTGGCTACCAAATACCCATTGGACAACTGTCATCGGTGCAAGAATGGTGTAGTTGAGCAGGATATCGATAATGCGGACGGCGACACCAGGCTGGTCTTTCCAGTACTCCACCACACTGGCTACAATCTGACGGCGTGCAGTCTCGTTTTGAGAGATTTCCAGGAGGCGGTCCTTGCCTCGCTCAATGCAAGAAAGAACGTGGGACAGCGACTTGGCACCCAGACGACAGATGGCAGTGACAAAAGCATCAGTTGAAGGTACGAGAACTTCTGCAATACCTTGCGCAAGAGCCTTCTCATGAATGCTATCGATCGTGACTTGCACTTCCTCTGCTGTAGCCTTCTTCCTCAGCTGGTTGAGCAAGGTCTGACCTTCAACAGCATATGGGGTATCTAAAGCTAGTGTCAGTCATATTCGCATTTACGTCTAGTGCATACATACCTGGGTTGTCGTATTTGAAATCGGGACTGTTGTCCGCATCCAGACGCTCGGGAATCAAAGCGTGCATGGGGTCTGGCAGAGTCGAACGGATGCGCTTTGCAAATGACAGCCTGATTTCCTTGTCCAAGGTAGCAAGAATGAATGCCTTTTTTGGGTGCAGATTCGAAAGCTCGAGATCGTCAAGCCTGATGTTGTTAGTATGTTTATGTCACACACACACTTTTAAACATACCATTCAGTCCACCTCCATCGGAACTCAAAGTTGCTGAGATGGTGCGAGAACCAATCAAGGAACCTATAGCCCAACTCCAGATCCATCATGGGCAGATTCTTATAGATCGTACGGATAGCCCTTCCAAGTGACGGTGCAATGGCAGCAGGAGCAACTTTGCAGCACTGAGTAATGAGCGAGTGGTAGTAGACGAGTTTGTGTTCGGCATTAGGCAGCTTGAACAGTTGTGAGAAGATGGCGTCGATGATCATATCTTCAGACTTGTACTGGATCTTGTCACCGACCAGCTCGCGGAACTTATCAAAGGGTGAGCCACGCTTGGCGAAAATGTCGACAGACCAGTAGCAGTCCACATCGACGAGGAACTTGGCAACCATCTCCCGGTTGAAGTCAAGTTGATTGATGGTGTCAACGATAGCATCGCGTACAAGAGATGACGCAATGTCAGTCGTCTTAGGTACGGTGTCAACTTCCTGGTCGGCGAAGAGGGAAAAGTAGGCCTCGGGAAAGACAGGCCTTGGGCCAG